TGAAACTACCTGGCTGCTCCACCTCACGACACCTGGCATTTTAGTTCACTCAGGATTCAAGTGACGCTGCCGGGGTTAAACAATGTCTTCACCTGGACCAGAGAAAATTTATTACAGTTTAATCAGGCATGTGTTTCTGGTCTTTGTGGTTTCAACTTGGCTTCAAAATTCTCTGCGCTGTGTAATGCTATTTTCATTTTGGGAAAAAAAAAAAATCTTCAGCTCAGACAGACTTGTACCAGCGATGTGTTTTTATGTGGGGACAAAATGAATTGCCGTTGGAGCAGAAATAAATAGTAAGCAGGTTCTGAGTTAAGATGTTTTACCATGGCCTAGATAGAAGTGGGGAGGGGTGTATATTTAGCTAGAATGTGACAGTACATGTGTGGTAAAACATCAAGTTTCTTTGATCTTCACTGAAATTAAATCAAGTCAATATGGTGATAATGATTACTTCATGATAATGAGAAAATCTGATTGGCTGTTGATGACATCATAAGAATTGCCAGGGCATGCTCCTTGTATATAGTTGGTTACATATGTCTTTGATAAATAAAAATGTGGAAACATTAATATTACTTAATAATGTAGTTTCGATTTGAAGATAGTCTTGACCTAGGAGTCTTCAACAGGAGGTAGGGGTAGGGGGAACACCAAAGGACTTTTAGACTTTCTGCCTCAGAATTTATGGAAGTGTGCTAGAATCTGATGTAATAAGAGCAAAGTGTAAATAGGCAGATGGTACTCTGAGTTACCAACAGTAGTAGAAAACACCTCGCACTTCACACATTTTAGTCCAATGACTAATACTTAGAAGTAGAAAAACGTATGGTAAACAGAACTTACACTATCAAAATAACTATTGAAGCTAACTTGAAGCTAACTCAAAAACTTGAAGCTAACTCAAAAGGTAACACCAATCTATTTTCGACACTTGGAACAGTTTTCACCGACAGTGAGTTAGGACATGTGGTTCAGAATAGCATTTATTTTTAATCATTATGTCTGGGTTGGTATCTTAAACATGAATTAATGTTGTCCTTTCAAGGATATTAACTTATTTCTTAGGTTAAGTTTGGGGGAGATAATGGTAGCTGAGAAAGTCTATCCTACCTACTTTAAATAACCCATTAAGTTCCTAGTGAATAAAAGGCACTCCATCCCGAGTAACTGGGTAATAGCTATTACTAAGTTTCAGTCCAACTCTAAAGGTAGTTTGTTTTATATTATTAAAAATTGTTATAAGATTTTATCTGTGACATTAGATTAAGCTAAATCTACCAAAAAGAGTAATGGCAAACAGGATTATATTTTAAAGTCTAAAAGAAAAATAGACTTAAAAAAGCCAGTACCTTCAGTGCTTTTCTGTTTTATTTTTAGAAATTAGAATAACTAGTAGTTTGCTATTTTTAAGCAAACTATTGGTTTTTCACTCAATACAAATCACTCCACTTAATGTCTATGCCCAACATTAACTAAATTAAGATCTGAATTGTAAACTAATTTATCACTTAAGATATAATCACCAAGACAATGAAAGGTCTGATTTCTCCTGGGGTGGTACTCACCACCATCACCATCACAGCATCTCCATATCAGTTTCTAAGACAATTTCATACATATTTATCTCATTTTTTCATAGCGGCCTGTTATAAAACACATTCCTTCAGTGGATGTTTCTGGTGCTTTGGATTAAAGTGAACAGTGGCTGGTTACTCAAGCCACTGTATTAGGTTACAGCAAAGATGATCTGAACATTTCCCAGAAAAAGTATCAGATGTGCAATGTGATAAACATCCAGGCTCTCACGCTCACTACCTGTGTGACCTTGGGCCAGTCACAGGACCTCTCTGGGTCTCAGCTTCCTTAGAATAAAATGGGGATAACAACAGCACCCACCTCTCCTGACTGTTAACAGGATTAAAGAGAGAGTTTAGAAAAAGGCTTGACACATAAGTGTTAACTGTTGTCAATGCTACTTTTCTAGAGCTCATGCGCGCACACACACACATACACACACAAATAAACAGAATTAGTGAATGTATAAATTACCACGTTATTTACCATAATAATACTCTTTTTTTCATTAGTTTGTTTTGTTAATCCTCACCCAAGGATATTTTTTCCATTGATTTTTTTTTTAAGAGAGAGTGGAAGGGAGGGAGGGGGAGAGAAAGATTTAAAAAAAAAAAAAAGATGTGAGAGAGACACATCAACTGGTTGCCTCCTGCATATGCCCCCAGTGGGGGCCAGGGATCAAACCTGCAACCCAGGTACATGCCCTTGACTGAGAATCAAACCCATGACCTTTTAGTGCACAGGCCAAAGCTCTACCACTGAGGCACACTGGCCAGGGCACTGGACTATATTAAATGAAGATGATCTATCCGCTTGGAAACTTTTAGTTGAATCACTGGGTCTCAAGACACTGGTGGTATATCATTATATCCTTTATTACTGAATGTCATTAAAATCAATCAACTCCCTCCAAAGATATCAGAGAACAGACTGACGTAGCACCCTAAGTGGTTTATTTTTCTTCACAATCGAATACAACAATCTCTGCAACCACTGATGGTAATAATGCTAAATTTAGTACTTTTCCGTTTGCAAAACACTTTCAGTGCAATGGTGAGAGAACTCCTGTTTCTTGCTTTTTCTTACTTTCAAAAGAATTCTCTCCATGGAGAGCCACATTTCCCACCATCCTCAGGCAGCAGCTCCATTATTTTTGCCTATTTTCTTACAGATACTTGAAGTAGTGGAGAGAAATTAAAAACTCATTTGTTTGTTTTTCAATACAAATTTGCAGAAAATCTAGAGAAATGAAAATGTTTCACAAAGGCACTAAACATGCTTAGTAAATTTCCTGAGTAAAAAGACAACTTGGTTACTGTCATTTATGCTTTCAAGTTTTGTTCGAATTCTACAGAAAAGCCTGATGTTCTCTCTGAGGAAGACTCACCCCTCCTCAAGCTCTCCCCCCAGGCTCAGAGGCAGCAACTGCCACAAAGCTTGGCTTTTCTCATACAGAATCCTCTCATATGAAGTCTCTATGTTGTAAATCAGAAATATGGAAGTTTGATGGGGTAATGAAGAAACTAAAGTCAACAGTAGATAATTTCCTTTACCTTTAAGAATCAAGATCTAGCCCTAACTGGTTTGGCTCAGTGGATAGAGTGTCGGCCTGCGGACTGAAGGGTCCCAGGTTCCATTCTGGTCAAGGGCATGTACTTGGTTGTGGGCACATCCCCAGTAGGGGGTGTGCAGGAGGCAGGTGATCTATGTTTTTTTCTCATTGATGTTTCTAACTCTCTATCCCTCTCCCTTCCTCTCTGTAAAAAATCAATAAAATATATATTTTTAAAAAGGATCAAGATCTAAATACAGAATCACAGATGTTTAAGCCCTGAAGTTACTGGGCTTCTAAGGGATTTTATAAACAGCAAATAACCATAATAGTGAGGAAGAGGAGGAGGAGGAGGTAGAGGAGGTAGACAAGGTGGAGGAGGAGGAGGAGGAAGTGGAGGAGGAGCAGGACGAGGAGGAGAAGGAAAGAAGGAGAAAGGAGGGGAGAAGAGAAGGAGAAGGAAGGAGAAGAAAGCGGGAAGAGGAAGAAGAGGAAGAGGAGAAAATGAAGTTATTTTGAAGTTTTCAAAATTCAGTCACCTGCCCTGACCGATTTGGCTCAGTGGATAGAGCGTCGGCCTGCGGAAGCAAAGGTCCCAGGTTCGATTCCAGTCAAGGGCATGTACCTTGGTTGCCGGCACATACCCAGTGGGGCGTGTGCAGGAGGCAGCTGATCGATGTTTCTCTCTCATTGATGTTTCTAACTCTCTATCTATCCCTCTCCCTTCCTCTCTGTAAAAAATCAATAAAATATATTTTAAAAAAAATTCAGTCACCTTGATACTGTTATTAAGGATGAGCAAGGGAAACACTATGTCAAATATAACAGCACAGAATTTGGAAGTCCACTTCATTTACATTCATTTCTCATGGGAAACAATTTGGGTTTTGCAAATTGTTTTTATTTAGCCTTATTTTATCCTTTATGTGCTAATGGTGGGGCTTATCCCCACACTGGTCTCTACTGGAAAGTAAGACACGCCTCATCAATAGGACAGGGCCCGTGCCCACACCACAGGTTCACGAGTCCCACGCAGCAAATGCTTGCTATGTCGGACCTTCTCTGTGCAGGGATGAACATAGCTTTGCCCCCTGTTGAGATGCAACTTCTGTGCTTCCTATCATAAATGAGGCCAACTCTAGTGACACCGCACCCGGCTGACCATATTTACCTAACGTTCCATTCATCAAACATCACTGAGTGCTATCAAGTGGCAGACATTCCTCGGCCCTGAGGAGCCTATTGTCCAATCAAAGAATGATTTACTCCTAACCGTCTGGGGCATGCGCCCAAGATCTTTGTTTTATAAAACCAGGATTACAACATGGAACCCCACTCTTTAAAAACATGAACTCTTGGAAGAAAAAAAGTTTACAAAATGAAATTCAATTAAGAAGGATAAGAAGACCATAAAAAAGGAAAGGGCAGGAAAAGCCTATAATTCACCATTAAAGAAAATGCTGGGAGACAAACACGAAGAGAACAAGCTTTCATGTACGGGAGTGGCCTCGGCAGCAGAGTTCAAAACACAGCGCTGGGCCCTCCAGATGTCCGCCGTGAATGAGATCATTAACAGACTCCATGATGTCAGTTTCAGGCTTCATGAAAAGTGCTGGGACTCTCCACGCACTCTTTTGACCTCTTTGTATCATCTCAGGCCTTATCCTATGAGGGCTCAAACCCCCAGGAAGCTTTTGGAACACACCGCCCCCCGCCCCATGTGCCTGGATATTACCCCATTAATGCTCATTCAAGCTCAAACACTGTGTGACAGTCCTATGAGAAGGTTCTACAAAAGAGACCATTTCCTTTCAATGAGAAATCTCCTAGAATAATAAAAAGTACTCAGCAAAAATGAAGAATTCCCTACCTTGAACACATTAAGCTGCTGGTTGATGGTCTCTGTTTCCATAGCAACGGGGCCTTGAGAGTCCTCAAGTTCTTCGGCCTTCTGAAGCAGAGTAGAAAATTCCTTCAATTTGCTGTAGAAATCGCTGAGACGCTCAATTGTCCCGTCCACCTGCTCCTCTCTGGCTTGTGCTCGGTCCAGCAACTTGTTGCACTGTTTGCTGAGAGCCTCCAAGTCCCTTTTGATTCCCACAAGATCAGGAGAGGTTTCTTCCGTGGCCAGCATCAGCTTGCAGGTTTTGTTGGCATTGTCGTTGCTAGCTATGAGGGCTTCTAGTTTCTTCCGGAAGGCCGTAATGGCCTCCTTCTGCTTTTGTAACGTCTCTACATCTCTCGCCACTGGGGCCATGCTATCTAGTTCATCATCAAACTCTGCAAACTGAGAAAACATTTCCCGGATGGTATTCTGGAAATGTCCAATACCCTGAAGCTTGGTTTCTAAGAATGAACACTTCTCATCAACCTGCTGGCTTAGGACATTATGCTCTTGAGCTAAGGTTTCTGCTTGTAATAAAACATCAGAGGCTCCCTTTGAGTCTGAGGCTTCCGCCACCAGGTCCTGTGCAAGGCCTTTGGCCAAATCTACCTGTTGCTTCAAGGTCTGAAGTGATTTCTGCTGTGTCTGCAACATGGTCAGGTATTTGCTACTGTAAGCCTGGGGTCCTAGAGACTCATGGGCCTCTAGCTGTTCCTTTGCACACTGAAGCTGCCTTTTAGCTTCTTTGGACACTTCTTGAAATTCTTTAAACTTCTGGGCCATGTTCTCCAGAGAGAATTTCTTAGTGTGAAGTTGTTCAGTGACCACGTCTACCTTCTGGTTCAGTGATTTATTCTCTTCTGTAACCACCTCTTTATCGGTCTCACAGACACTGAGCAAGCTGTTAGCTGCGTTGTTCAGCAATTCCACCATCCCAAAGTGCTGGTCCATGTCCTTCTGCAGAGACTTTAACTTGGCAATAGAATTCTCTGTTTCAGCAGGATCCAGGTAAAATTTTATCTCCTCCAGGCTATTTTGACATTTATCTATCCACGGCCGGAGAGTCTCCACGTGTTCTTTATACTTGAGGGCTTTCCCCAAGCAATCTTTTACCTTGTCTTCTCTTTCTTTCACCTGCTTATTAAATCCATCCCAATTGGTTTTAATTGTGTTAAGTTGTAACTGTAAGGCTGCCTTCTCAGACCCTTGTGTTTCTAATAACAGATTTTCACCTTCTGCAATGGTTTTTTCATAAATACTAGACTGAGTAGTCAATGTTTTATTAAAGTCTTTCTGATCTTTCATTAAGGACTCCAAGACATCGAGTTTAGCTGATACTGGGTGGGACTTGTGTAGTTCTGCCTTCTTTGTATCCAGCCAAGCCTGAAAATCTCTAGACATCTGCTGAAACTGATGAGAGCTGGCACAGGCCAACTGAAGGTGCTGGACATGATGCTCTAAAAATGAAATTACAGGCATGTTTATTTTACATCAAAATGCTGATTTAATCTATGAAAAGCCAAAAGGAAAATCACCAAATAAGTGTACAGGACTGTCTAAAAGCAAGAGTTTTCTCAGCACTGACTATGAGAACTACAAGTGAGCACAAGTTATTGACAAAGGGGGTAAAGAGAGCAAGAGGTAGGGGCAGCAACAACAACAAAAAAGACAATCAAGGTGAGGAGGAGGGAGACGATGGGAATCGGAAAAACTGCATAAAGGTGCAGGGTGGCAGAGGACAAGCAGAGGACAGTCACACGCTGTCTGCTCTGCCAGGTCGTCTCCATTCCAGTAAGTGGAAGTGACAACTGTTCACAGTTCTAAGTATGCGAATAAGTAATCCATCTCTTATCAAATATGACTGCTTCAATTCTATGACTTGTACATTATCATGGAGACAATATAATGAAGCCCACAGGAACAGCGTGGGTTTGGGTCTCACCTCAACCTCTTAGGACCTCTAAGCCTTACTTTCCCAGATGTAAACGGGCAACATTCGTAAAAGCTGTTGTGGCCATTGAGGGACAGTACCTGAAAAGTTCTTAGCTTAATGCCTGTCACATAAAAGTGTCCATAGCAGTAATAATCATAATCTAAATAGCTAATATTATCAATATGATGTCAAATGAATGAGTAAGCCTAACTGATTTGATCAATAAACAAACCCAATCAATTAAAAAGTATGAACGGAGTCTTTACTATGTTGCAAGACACCTAGGTCCATGGTTCTCAACCTTGGCTGCACATGAGAATCACCTAGGCCTGAAATCAGGCTTTAAAAAAGATTCCCAGGTGATTCTCATGTGCAGCCAAGGTTGAGAACCACTGACATAGTGTTACTTTTCAAGCAGGACAGATACAGCAGTTGAATGTGCTCTTCCTAGGCAGGCCCCTGTGACGTCAGTAACTCACTGCTGCTGCCTGGGACAAACCCTGGTCCACAGGTCACGGAATCGGGGCCACAGGAGGCGAGAGGAAAGTAGAGCCTTGTGCTTCTCTTTCACACATTTCTCTAGAAATGCGAATTTCTGACAGAGTCAGACAAAATAGCTGCAGATGAGAAAACGAGGCAACGCCTTTTTGATAACGGTATTCATCTGTTTATCTGGTGACATAAGTCTGTCACACAGCAACACAACATTTACGTCTTTTAAAAACCAAAGTGGAATACCTGAAATCTGAATGGGCCTTTGTCAAGTGGATTTTGCCAACACTGTCCCTCCATCCACTGTCTGCGTGGAACGACCCTCACTGTGTGTGCCCATGAACACACCTGCTCTCCACACTCGTGTGAGAGGCCTCCTCTTCACATACGCTCCCGATGGGGACAGATTCTCTCTAGGGTCCCAGATTCCTGGCAACAGCTTGGAAACAGACCACCTAAGATCTCTATTTCCAGGAAATAGATGTGTTAAAAGAAGAGAGACAAACCTGCTCTTTGTTCAATATCCTTGAATGACTTTAAGATGCCTTCTAGCTGCCGACTGAGTTCTGCTTTCAGGTACTCCTCTTTAACCAGGGCTGACAGCTCCTCACAGAGGGCCTGGGCCACTTGTATCTGCTTCGCCTCCTGCTCTATTTCCTGCTTCATTTTTTGGGCTGTTTCCAACTGCTGGTTCATAGCATCAGGGTGTGTGCTCACAGCCACACTGCTGCTGAGCTTGTTGTCCAAGTCCCCCAGTTTATCAGAAAGGCTTCTCAGCAGGCTTTGGTACTGTGTGCTTTTGACAATGGCTTGGTCGATCCAGTCACATCTGTCACTCAACTGTCCTGTGAGGCTGTCCCATTTCTGGGTCACAGCTGCTAGCTGCTCTCTCACAATCCCATGGAAAGCAGGGTGTTCACCAGGTCGGCTCAGAATGCCCTGGCCCGCTGCCGTGAGCTGCTCATACTGAGGTTTCCGGGTATCAAATTCTTGCAGCAGAATCTAAGGTAAAGAGGAAGTGAGGGTAAATAAACGCACAAATTATTGAATAATTAAATGCAGAAAACACAGCTCTAAGTTTCTAAAGAGACAGAAATGCTACTTACTTATCTAGTTTTCCTTTTTGAGGTTTAGCTACTGCTTTCCTACTTTTGATTTGGAGGGCAGTGCAATTACCTTAAAGTAATCGAAAAAGCTCTGGTGCTTCACAGAGATAACATTTTGCCCAAAATAAGATCCCCCAAAGGGGAAAACAAAGCGGATAAATATTTTCAGCAGTCTGGGCAAAAGGAACAAAAATTCATGTACGAATTTTCATACAGAAGGGAAACACTGCTATTGGACCAGTTCCCATCGCACTAACACAGATTTGTTGTTTTCCCACTTGTACTTTTCTCTTTGTAGGATTTTAAAAATTACAGCATTTTACACCAAGGAAGTTAAGACTAGATTAACTCATGGTGCATTGATTTACAAAGGTTTCTTTGAACGTAAGGTCTTTACTGACAGTCTTTATAATCATGGTTTTAAATCATGTTGCTCAGAATGTGCAAGCTCAACATTGGCTCTCATTATAAGATGGAAGATCCAAGCATTTTATTTTTCTTTAGTACAATATTTTAACTATCTCTGAGAGACTACCAGGATTGGGGGCGATTATTTCTCCCTAAATGTTTATGTACAGCTTTTGTTTCCATCCTCTTCACATGGAGAATGTACATGGATTTGTATCTTTCAAGTTCAGGATCAGCCTGTCTGCTCTAACACCACTCCTCACACATACAGAAATCTCACCGCAACCGCAACAGAGCTTCTGCGATTCCAGCCGCCTTAAATTTTATGGATGCTTTTCCCCTTGTGGATTTATTCCCTTATAATTAATCTAGTCTAACTAACCCCCTGGGTTTCAAGGTTCCCTCTCTGCTTCCCTTATTCTTTCTCCTCTTATTCAGTTTCTCTGCCCCCCGCCCCGTCAAGACTGTACTGCATGAGTTTTACAAGTTTCATTATCTACTACCACACTCAAAATAAACAAAACCTCAAAGGAGTCATTTCTAAACAATAAAAAGCATATACTAGCTTCTCATAAAAATGTTATTATTTATACAATCACATTAATACTTCAAAGACGGCCCTTTGTAACAGAGTCTGCACAAACCATAATCCGAATGAAATGATCAAGGGACTTGACCCACTCCTGGGCTCAGCGTGCAATTCTGGGATGCCTCACAGCTTTGGTCCTCTGGGGTGTATCATTAACCTCAGGACGGTATCTTAGGGGCATCGGAGACATTACAAATACACTCCAAGGGAGTGAAAGCACATACTCTGCAAAGCTACTATATTTGTAATGAAAACATTTGTCTTGTTAAGTCAAGTAATACTCACCTGCACCTGCTGCCTTTGTGTGTTCAGCATATTTGGGTCAATGGACAAGGGCCCAAGAACACTGACCATCAGTTCTTTTTCCACAAGCCACTGTTTTAACTGAGCCTCTCCGGTCTGGAACTGAGTTAGATTATTAGAGGATTCTTCTAGTTTTTGTTGTCTATCAACTGTCAATTGATTGAGTTCTTGCCACTTAGAATCTGAAAGAAAACAGAAAACTGGTGTTTGGTTTTTATACATTTAACATGACTATATCTAGGAAGACTACAGGATGTGACTCAAAATGATATATAATAGCTATCATTCTGTATTTATAACTCTTCTTTACAGAGTTGATTAAAGTCTAAGCTAAGAGAATTGCATTTATTGATACAGATTTTTATGGCCCTGATGGTTGTGTGTCAACTGAATTAAGAGGAAAGTAAAATTGAATCTGATGTTAGAAGATAATGCAGAATATGGAATATTCCTTAAAGCAAACAGGATCCTGAGCTCCCTCATTCCTTCTAGAAGTTCTCTAGAGTCTGTTGATCCAACTGTAACTGACCTGCTAGAACAATGGACATTAATTCTTTTGTTTAATATTAAATTCCAATGATCAATTCTAGGCAAGCGACTCCCATTTTTTTTAATTTTTAAATTTTATTTATTGATTGGGGAGGAGAGAGAGAGAAAGAGAGAGAGAGAGAAAGCATCGATTTGCTATCTCACTTATTTGTGCATTCATTGGTTGATTTTTGTATGTGCCCTCAGCGGCAATCAAACCTGCAACCTTGGCGTATCGGGATGACACTCTAACTCAGCTACCTGGCCGGGGCCGTGACTCCCAAATTTTTATATCTGTACTCAATCATTCTCTTCTATTCAAGTTGCATGTTAGTAACCAGCTGCTTGAAAATTACACTAAGAAATCTCACTAATGCTTTAAACTCAACATTTAAAAAAAACAAAACCACATTTCTTGACTTGGGGTGGTGAACACACAATATAATATACAGATGATGTATCATAGAATTGTACATTTGAAACCTATGTAATCTTATTAACCAATGTCACCCCAATACATTTAATAAAAAATTTTAATACTATGTTCCTATCAAAATTTGTGGACTTTTCTGACTTTTAGATTTCTTTCAAAGGTTATTCTCTCTGCCATGACACTGAGATGCAATAATTCAGAATGTTCTTTTATGACTCTCCTATATCCTTTGTCCTAAAACCTCAAAGCCATCCTTTACATTTCCAATGCCCTAACTCCATTTTGGTCCTCACCGTGGTTTGCCTAGTAGGCCCTAGACCAGTGGTTCTCAAACTTTAGCTTCATTAAAATCAGCTGGAGGGATGATTAACACAGGTTGCTGGGCCCACCCCCAGAATTTCTGATTCAGGAGGTCTGACCTGGGGCCTGAAATTTTGCATTTCTAATCTGTTCCCAGGTGCTGCTGCGGCTGCTGCTCCCAGGAACATACTTTGAGAACTACTGAAATGACCTAGACTACCAGTCTTCTAACTAGTTTCCCTGCCATTAGTGTTTCTCAGCTGCAATCCATTTGGTTCTACAATAATTTCTCTCTAAAAACAAACAAAACAAAACAAAATAAATCACTTTTAAATATATCACTTCCTGTGCTACAATTCTTGAATAACTAACTCCTCACCACAGATGATAAAATCTGAAGACCTCTGCTTGACATTCAGGGCCTCCCACAAACTGACCCTCATCTACTAATCTTAGAGGGTTTGTACTTCAAGATGAACCCTCTGATCTAGCCCTGCTGATCTTAACCAATATCACCAAACTGGCTTCTGCTCCCAATGGCCCATACTGGCATGCTCTACCTCCTCTCCATGTATCCCCGCTCTACCCTTCCTTCCCACTCCTCTGGGTTTTACCCTCTGCTAGGAAGCTGCTCCTGTCCTCCCCCACTCCTGATGGCCTGCTCCTGAAGCCAAGTTATGGAACACAATAGTCACTCCATAAACATTCCCTGAGGGATAGAACTGGTTGATTTGATGGATGTTTTTCACCATATACCGAAGGCCTGGTTTTAATAGACCCCTCCCTCCCCCAAATCCTGTCTAATGGCATCATTCTATATGGCACATTGTAGTCACACAGTCTAACAAAATAGTAATGCAATTAAAACAATAAATTGAGAGGAAGAAATATCTAAATCTTATCAGGAAGCTTTTTTGAAATACACATTCTTCCCTCCCACCCCTATTGTAAAATGTCTTAATAATATTCCCCCAAGTAGCTCTGATATCCCAGGTGAGAGCCACTGAATTAGGGACAATTCATTACAATGCAACAGGACTCTCTATAGTTGGATTAAATACACTATTGAACATTAAGGTCCCTTAGGATAATGAACACATACTTATAGATTTCTAAATATATCACGGAATATCTGAGTCTAAGGAGAGACAAACTTTAGCTAAAAATAATGGACTGATTGAAAGTAAAATAATTATTATCATCAAAGCAAACACACAGCACTTACTATGTGTCAAGTACTATTCATCTGTGCTGTACACACACTAACTCACTGAATTCTGAAAAGCAATTCTATGCAGTAGGGAAAACTGATATCATTGTCTTACACTCATTTTCCATATTATTATAATAATGAACAGGGGTAATAAGATAATTGGGCATGTGAAGATTCTTTACTTAGGAGGAACAGTTTATATAGGGGCAGGACTGATATGGGAAGATAACTCTGGAGGCAAAACCATGAGACTTCTGTGGGGAGCTACTTTCTAATACTGGTTGGGGAAGAGAAGAAGAGCATAAAGTAGGAACTGGAGGAGTCCCAAAGGGAACCCCATGGAAGAGAAGGGAACCTACCTTTTTCAGACAAATAAACTAAAAGGAACATTTAAATTAAAATATAATACAGCGTCAACAATTAGAAGCACCAAAAACCTAGTAAAAAATCAGCAATAATGAAAACACGTTACTCAACGCACAGCATGTTATTAACTACCTTCTTCATAAAAATAAATTTAACCATCGTGTTTAGCAAGAATCCAAAAAAAAGACCCACAAGATAAAATAATGCTAAGTTAGCACAATTTAATTTGAAATGACACTTTTATATATGCAAAACTAGACCGTGAAATGGTTAAATAAGTGAGGCTGTTGGATAAATGTTCTCTGATAGAGATTAGGATTAGATAAAAGAAAGACGGAGCTTCTGTTCTTGGAGTCGGTATGAGTAACAGAACATACCTATTTCTGTCAACATCTGCTTCCATTTGGGGGCCTCAGGAGTGTCTGGGTTCTCCTCCAACAGCTCTGTCAACTTGTCTTTCAGCTCCTGGACTTTGTTTACATTTTGTTTCAGTTCTGCCTCAAATGACTAAGAAGGAGGGAAAAAAATTAAGTAACGGCATTAAAGTATGTCTACCTCAAAAGACAAGAACACAATTATGATAGGGAGCGTTTTCTCCAGCATGACCAAAAGAGGAGAAATTCCACCGTGAAACGCTGAAGTGGGTGAGGACCTGGATTCAACAGTTCCTTTCCTTTCCTGCTCCCACTAGTCTTCATGATCTGATAAAAGAATCCCTGAGGGAAATGCTATCGCTACAGAGATAATGACTCATCCCCATGACCTAGGAAGAATTTCATATTTTTCTCAAACAACGCCTTTTGGGGAAAAAGGAAGGTGACATCAGAAAGATTGAAATTAACAAGATAATCATAGGTGGAGGTGGGCAAAGGGAGGGAAATGGGAACGGGGAGAGACTATGCTTGGGGGGATGGGTGCACGATGCAGTTTGCAGATGATGTTTTGTTGAAACCTGTATAGTTTTGTGAACCAATGTCACCCCAATAAATTCAATAAAAAATAAATAAAATAAAATCCTTGTCAGATAAAGCAAACATCTGGTGACGAAGACTGCCAGATTTGAGAATGTGCTAGTGAATAAGCACTTTTCTGGACAACACAACACAGAGTTCAAATACAGGTTAGAGTTTGTAGACATTTTTGCCATCATTGCCTCACTGTAAAGCCATTTTCCCAATACGGACAGTTGTAGAAAGAAATACTGCCTATGAAAGAACGGGGAAGAATGAGCTCCCCTATTTCATACTAGACAGAACAGATCCCTAATACACTTAGCCCTTCCATAAATCTTCCCCAATAGTTGACGGGTTAAAATCCCAGACTTAAACTGATTTAAAGGTGGCAACGTTGCTTATACCCAACAGTTCACTCATCTTTATAATGTCTGTGTGCAAAAATAAGTGATTGGTGTAATCCATCTCTACATAAAGGCACATTAAACAAAACTGGCCAATTATTTGCTGAAGTTCATGGAGCAAGAAATCAGAACAGGCATCCTGAGCACCAGGGCTCAATTTTGAACACCGGTCTGTTCTCTTTCTTGGCTTCAGGAAGCCTCCAGAATATACCTTATTCTGCTCAACTTGGGTCTTCACAGCTTCGGTATCTGTAGGTGTAGGTGCCTGGTGCCATTTTGCTGCAGTTTTGTTCATCTTCTGTAACCACTGCATCATTGCACTTGATTCTTCCTGAGCCTTTTGCAATTTGGTGAGTTTAGTACTCAGTTCGGCTATTTTGTCCTTAAGTAAGAGGCCAAGATCTTCATAACTGTGGCTTATGTCAGTCATGTCTTTTTTAATAGATGTTAATCCTAAGAATAAGAAAAATTATTACATTTTTAGGACACATTTTCAGGATGTTCAGAGTAGAGCTCTAGAAAGAAATGTTGGCTTTATATGATATGCCCTTCTACTTTGTTAACATTAAGCCTACTATGATCAAGTCATAGAATTTTAGAAGTAAAAGGTTAGATCATCTTATAATGCTATTTAATGACAAATAATTTAGGGACATTACATAATACAAGTGGAATGAAACAGATATTTTAAATAGAATAAAAAACCAAAACCATGAAGTATTACTTATTAATTCTTCAGGCATCAAACTCAAGGAAGTAGCTTAAATAATGTCAAATGAAAAAATAGCACAAATTAACCTAAAAGAAGGAAACATAACCAAATGCCAAACTGAACTACCGGATTACACTAATTTCAGATGAACAAAATTGCATAGGATCATATAAGTATGTTTATAGCGAATGGGACTATTATGTTAATACCATTTTAACTCAAGTTTGAAATGTCAATATAACTACTGTACACCTCTAAAAAGATCTCCTCTCAAAAAAGAAGACCAATTTATTTTAAACAATAAGCACTTAGAGTTACTATTCACCTTTATTTGCCAAAATTTCCTGAGTATCGGTGGCTGTCCCTTCACCATTTAATATTACTCCACCTGCAAAAATATTAACACTGAAGTCACTCGTCATAAATTTCCATAGTATTTCTATACATTAATAATAGATGACATTAAATCAAACCCCTGTACGCAGTGATCATTTAAACATGTTATTACTATTTAAAAATATAAAATATAGGTAACCCCCCCAAAGTTACACACTTTAACAGCTGATAAATCACTTAATTTTCACTCCATTTCAAGTTTAACTGATTTGAAATAACAGGTGAAGCCAGATTAAACTTTGATCAAAGAAAATATATCTTGAAGTGCTGCTAGACTTTTTTTAGAGGAATACATAAAAGATAAAGTTTATGGTACAAAACCAGCAACAGTCAATGAATTGAGGGTGCATAAATACTGAACAAAATGATTCTTGATGTTTGTGATTCCACTGTTTTGTGTTATCAGCACAAAACAGGACCTGTTTTGGACCTGAAGGGTCATCAATTTGAAAATTGGCATTGACCAAAAAAAATTATTTATTTCTGTAGATTCTTTTAAATTTTGAAAATTAACTGCATGTTAATAAACACTGACTTTATTATCATTCAAAGTGCATACACATATTTTGGGACACCCTGTATTGATTCAATTTCAAAACCGAGTATCCAAAATTTAAAGATCAAGTCATATCTTCTCTTCTATACAAAATTTGTTCTTACAATGTAACATGATCATCTTAAACATTAGTTTCAGTAAATTTAGAGTATATACATTACTCATTAAGTATACACTTATAATACAATTTTGTGATAAAGTTTCTTTGTTGGTAAAGTTACTTTAGTGACAAATGATAAAGTCTCTGAAGCTCAGAAGTCGCTCAATATGTGTGTTGCACAAAGCATACACGATTGACAGACAAAAAGAACGTCTGCCTCACTTAAGGAATTGAAAATTGTCTGATGCAGGTACTTAGTGTTTGCATGGGTTGAACAGAGGCAGAGTGATGTAAAAAGACATGATAGGAAAGTTAAAAGTAAAAAAAAAAATCCCTATTACTAAACTCACATTATGTCAACACAGAGAGAGGAGAGCACAGTGGCTCTGAGTACTTGGGCTCTGGCTTACAACTCACCTGAATTTTAACCCCAGCCCCACTAATTACGAGCTGTGTGACAGGGCAAATTAATCACCACTTCACCACATTGGTGGGGACCATAATACCTATCTTGTGAGACCACTGTAAGAATTGAACACAGTAAACCTATTGCCTACAAAATAGAAATGGCTCGGTGAGCAGTAATTATTATTTCTCTTTAATTATATAAACATGTAGCATGGGTACCTTTTTCATCATCAAAATGTTAAATAAATAATTAGACTTTCTCATTCAAGTATGCACTGGCTACCTATCCAAAACAGAGACATATCCCAAAACTAACCACATGAGAATGAGACCAAACAAACAAAAACATTTAAATATCTGAATCTTTACCTAAATTTTGTCCTTTTAAAAAAAAAATCACACACAAAGGCATTTCAGATGGAAGTGCCTGTAGGTGCTCAAGATTTATTCCTACTATGTTTAGGAGTTATCAAGAATAGAAAAAAAATTTTTTTTACTATTGCAAATATAAAGTGAGCATAAAGAACTAACACAATAGAATTCCTTTTCTTAAAAATAAACTTGACATTTCAGGAAGTCTGATTGAGAGAGAAAGGAGAGATCACCACTCCATATATAATATGAGGGTTCCCTGAAATGGGATTAATAGAGCGGAATAAATGTTTGGTCGAGAGGCCCAGCTGAATTGTCTCTCACAATGGGGACAGCTGGGGGCTGGCCAGGACAGATAAACCACAGAAACTCTCAGAAACTCAAGATATGCGATCTGCCTTCTGTCTATTCTTGGGTTTAAAAAGAAAACCTGATATTGACAACAATATAATTATGTTTTAAATTAAAAACTATTCCCACAACCTAAATTAATTTTAGAAACACTATTCATCCATGAGTCTCCCTTTCTATTGGGGAGAGTGAAAAAGATTGTGATTTAGATACACTGGTTAAACTACATACTTGTTTTCTTTGGGAATCGTGGAAAGAAAAAAAGCAGGTGGGAATAGAATGAGAGGTCCATTCTACAGAAAAGAACCTGTTTCCTTCCCTCACGTCTTCTGTCCCAGGAGACCAGGCTCATTTCTTTATCAATTATTTCAAAGAGAATTTTAACATCCCCATTAATTAAGGTTAAAAAAAACCCAACAAATTGAAATGTGATCTTTCCACTTCCCCAATATGCTGTTCCTTATTCTTACAGACTAATTTGGCTACATTTTAGCTGCAGTCTTTAATAAAATAAAACAGAGGGATTTGAAATGTGATGAGTACAGATACTTTTCCGTGGCACGTTCATAGATGCCATCTTTCTTGTCACTTTCCCTTCATATTGCTGAGATTATTTTATGCATTAAAATCTAAAAAGTAACACACACAAATAGAATTAACATGAGTGGACCCAATTCCTATGGTTTTTGCTATGAACATCAATGAAGCACATACCTGATTTAACTGCTGCTATTGCCTTTGCCGGAGTAGTCACGGCACTTATTAGGTTACATAGTGAAATCCCACTGTCGTTTACTTTCTGAATCTCTGGTGTTTTCAAACTCCACTTCTCTTGTAATTTCTTGAGGTATAAAAACACATTATTTTTCAGTCTTTGTTAATATTTTCGAAGTTACACATTATAATCCAAATTTCTTAAACATGACTTAAAACCATAATGATCGTGGGTCCTGATTCATGGGGGAGTGGATGGAGGAAAAAGGCACCATCCCTACTTGCTCCGACAGCCCAGGTGACGGTTAGCGCTGGTAGCAGTGAGAAGGGAAGTGGGGTCCAGCCTGCATTCTGCTCCCAGCCACCGTGGCAGTCAGCTACTCCTCGCTGCCATAGGTTCTAAACTGTCAACTGTAAGCACGGACAGCTATTCTAGGCAACAGTCAAGCTACAAGAAGAAATGTACTGGAAACATTTTTTTAAAGGGAATTCAGAATTCCATTTAATAGCAAGTTTTAATCATTGAAATTTCAATGGATTTTTTAAAACACGCACCTCTACAAATTTGGAATATAAAACCTGGCATAACTGGTCATAGGTTTTGATGACCCAAATGGCAAAAAACTTGTACACTTTGCACTAGAGATTCAAACAACTTTTACCTTCAAATACTAGTTATAGAGACATCTCCAAGCTACAGTAAAATGCTGACTTAAAGAGGGATTATTTTACTTAACATTATGAGAAATGGTGTAAAAAATTGCTGAAACTAAGCCAAGACTTGATGGGGAAGGAAACTTAGATACTTTAAGAGTCAGCAACTCACTAATATATCTCTTAAAACACACAAATTAATTCCTCAAAAGGATTGGTTAACCCCATTCCCTGATTTCCAAATATCACCAAAATATGTTGTACGTGCATGAGGCTCTAACTTACATGATACTAAATAACAGGAAACCACGATTAATCTTAACCTCTAATTACTGACACGGGCAAATGAGAAATTAGTATTTGATACAATGATTCACCTTAGTTTCTTCCAACGATTTTTCTAAATCCTCTGCACCGAAGGAAGGCTGCACGATGGGAACTCTTTCTGTTGTTTCTTTGATCCAGGACTTTAATGATTTAACAAGGACCTGGAAGGCGTCCATCTGTTCTTGACAAGAAGACACAGCTTCTTTTCTACGTAACAGAAACCATTGAGGAATTTAAGCCACGGAGAGCACATGCTCCAAAGAGCTAATTACCAATAAATAATCATTCTCAGATTAGGCTTAATATCAAGAAAAAAAATCTTCCCCCACGTACACTCTAACCATTTGATACAGGAGGAAAGGTTTATAGGTGGGAAGTGAAATCTCTTTGTCTATTTCTCACAGGCAGGATCCATAGATAAAGTTAGGAGAAATAAAGAAATCTGTAACCCATATGTAAAGGCACTCTATAAGGCTACATAAGCTCTAAGGCTATATAAACAGTTTTAACATTATTTAGATTCAATGAGCTTTGATCTGTCCACTTTATATGGTGCTTACTGCCAGGAGGGAAACATTTACACATTACAGCCATGAGGGAAACGTTCCGCCACCTAGTGGTTCCTACACCATACTACAGCCACTTTAGTGGATGGCTAAAAGCAGGTGCCTTAGAACACAACTGTATTTCAGTCACCAAAAGAGGTAAGACCTAGTGACTGAAAAGTTTTAAGGGTGCCTCCCTATAGAGACTCTGGAAGCTCCACGGTTAACTATATGGATCTTTCTGTACCTCAGCACCTCGGAGGGAGGGCCCATGCCTAGCACATGAACAGCTGTGAAGACAGCTCCATGTGGAACATGGACGACATGTGGGTAACATGTGCACATGTGCAAGTGTGTGGAATATTGGCAGATAAAAGTCCACTCCAGCTGGACGAATTACTGATGACTACATGGTTTTAAAATTGAATCCATTTGAAAGAAACAACCTAGAGTTTACCTAAGAAAATGAAGACTATTTCTTCTGTGTAATATGTGAATTAAATGTTGTATGACAAGATGGAAAATATAGCTCTCTGAGGAGTTCAGACAGCAGTCGACAGTTTTAGGTAGAGAATTATGAAGAAATAACGAATACTTGAAAGAGAAATAATTATTTTCTATTTTGGGGGGGTCTTCTGTATAAATTTTAGCAAGACCAGATGTACTATGTATTCTAAACTAGCATGAGATCAGAAATATAAAAGTTCAGTCACAAGGCTTAACCCTAGACAGCTTTTTAGCTCAACTTAGGTTCATTCTATTGTTTCTGATCTCGTTTGTTCAGAGTCATGTATTAGCTACGACTCCTAAGAAAGTAAACTGTTATTTAAAAAAAAAAAAAAAAGCCAGCTTCTGAATTGAGCCCAGAAAGCAATGAGCCATGAGGTATTTTTCAAGGTTATTTCTGACTTTGCAAATAAAAAATGGTATTTGCCAAAGGCTTCAGACACTATAGTGAGTTAAGGTCATTTTCAGTAATACACTACCCCCACATTTTTCTTACATTAATGCTCTCTACTTTTATGTAAGAAGTCTTGAATTTCCCTCCTAAATATTTTAACAAAACTACATTTAATTTTAATTGCAAAAAAAATATTAATGTAAAAGCACTTATAAAGTTGATGCTTATGTACAAGTTTTCAAAATTGTTTTAGGTTTCTATATAAGTAAATATAAATAATGTATTCTAATTAGTATCATGCAGAATAAAATCCAGTTTCTTAAGTAGTGCTTACTTTTCTTTGATGGTATCCTCCATTTCTTTAAATTTCTTTGACAAATTATTTGTTTTTTCAAACACCAGGGCCTTATCACCTGGTAAGCCATGGTTGGATATCTCCTTTAAGAGACTCTGCAAAACTTCAAGATCTTTTTTGTGTTCTAAGAATTCAGAAGTCGATTCCTACAAAGCATTTAGATAGTCAATCAATGTAAGATGTTGCTAAATCTTCAAAAGATATTCCATCAAGAGGTATGTATGGGACCAGAATCTCACATTAGAATAATCCTGCCCCGTGGTCAGTATTCTACATATAAATAAACATGCAAGCAGGCTGTGTGAAGAAGAACACAGTAAGCTTCGTTTAATTTAAAAAGGCACTCTTTACATCTGTCCCTTTGTGAGTGCTGTACATAACAAGTTTATATTGCCCATCCAGCTTGGCTCAGTGGTTGAGCGTAGACCTATGAACCAGGAGGTCAGGGTTCAATTCCCAGTCAGGGCACATGCCTGGGTTTCGGACTCAATCCCCCATAGGGGGTGTGCAGGAGGCAATCGATCAATGATTCTTTTTCATCATTGATGTTTCCATCTCTCTCTCCCCTTCCCTTCCTCTCTGAAACCAATTTTAAAAACATATTTTTAGCCCTAGCCAGTTTGGCTCACTGGATAGAGCATCAGCTTATCTTCGATTACAAGATCAAAAGAGTTTGGATGTCTGTAAGAAAGACTGAAGGGTTCCGGGTTAGATTCCTTTCGTGGGCATATGCCAGGGTAGGGGGCATGCAGGAGGCAGCCGATCAGTGATTCTCTCTCATCATTGATGTTTCTATCTCTCTCGCCTTCTCTCTCCCTTCCTCTTTGAAATCAATAAAAAAATATATTTTAAAACAAAACAAAACATATTTTTTAAAAAGAAGCTTATATTGCCTATGATATGTGAAAAGCCCAGCCAGCAAAGGCTTCAAGGAGATGTTGGAGTTTGTGATTTTTAAAGAAGGAAAGCAGAGATCTTTACTAATCCATCAGCAACTGAAATGATGACGGTGAATTATAATTCTGCCAGTAAATGTATGAGCTTGTCTTAATTGTTACTATGCTTGATCAGCTCGTGAATACTACGGAAGGCATACCTGCATATACTGAGACAGTTCTGTAACGTCTTTTCCTGGCACATCTGCCTCTGTGAGAGCCTGAGTTTTTGCCTCTAAAAATGTCTGAAGCTTTTCTGAGAGGCTCTCAAACCGTTCTACTTTGGTTTTCAGCTCCTCCATGCTGGCCAGTTTCTCTTTGTGTTTATGACTTGCTTCTGAAAACCGAACAGACAGGTCCTTCATTTTGGCTTGCAGTGAGGATGCGGTGGACGGGTCTGTTGTTTCCATAAATTTCTTCACTTTCTCGTTCATGGCATTTATGCTGCTCTGGCGACTCGCGATGTCCTGTTCCAACATCTGAAATGAATCCAACAGGGCATATGTTTTATAAGGATGTTTACAAATAATGTCCCGGAGTCTCAAAAAATTACTGTTCATAACAACATTAGCTTGAACAAACTGTGACTAAGGAAGGTCAACGGACAGGACTAACTGACAAGTCTGACCTCTCCCTTGAGGAATCCCATCCCAAATCTCTTCAAGGGAGAGGAGAGAACAGCTGGCTACTTGCCTGCGCGAGGCAGGAGGTGGCTGCCACTCAGCAACCCCTGGGATCTAATGGAGCCTGGGGATTATCCACGGTCCTAATTTTTAAAAGGCTAGACAACAACAAGATTGATCTGATTAACCTCACGTGCAGCTGGCTGAAGCAATGCTAAACGGTGAATACTACGCATGAAAAAGGATACAAAAACTCTTCCTATACGCCATAGAAAAATCATTCTATACATCTGCTTTTGTGCAAGCACTACTTTCCACAGGTATATTCATAAAATGTCTGGTTTTCTATATCCTTAAATTTACGTATCCTGGGAGCTTATCTGTGTGTTTTCTTAATCTAAAAGTGGTATTATTTATTTTCTTTTTCCCTGGTCACTTACAATGTGCTTGCTGATGACATCCTGAAGAGCAGCAGAGTTCAAGGGCACCTGGCCTGGTTCCTGCAGAGAACTCTCCACACCTGCCATCCAGTCCAGCATCTCGTCCAGGCCGTCCTGCACACTCAGCGAGCGGGTCAGGGTTATCTGGAGCTTCTCATTTCGTTCATTCACACACTTGGACAGATCGTCGTATCTCCCCACGATGTCATCTAGTCCCAAGAGATCGGGAAATGTTATCCACAAAGTTACCTTTGCCCTATTCCTTGTCAAAATTGCACTAAGGTGAAATCATAACATTTCAACCTCAAAATCGGAAAGAGAAAGAAAAGTTTCAATGATAAATTCATAATGTGCAATTAGGGCACCATCTAAAACATTAAAAAAGAAAGCAAAAATCACTGTGGAAAATGAAAAACAAATACTTTTTAAAACAGTAAATATGTGTATCATCCGCTTTGGAAAAAACATTGTCAGATACATAAACTTTTGAGTTGCCCCAGAGAGATGAAAGCAGTCTAATCAACAAATCTTTGGAGTAAATACATGTTTTCAATGTGACATGTCAAATTAGTCATACTTACTGATAACTATATGGGAGGGAAAAGCTGGCACTCATACAAAGCTACACTCTCAATGAACAATATACAGTCATAAGGACTTGTCAAGAATTAACCTTTATGTGTAAAAATTCCCTCCCACTCCCTCTTGCTCACACGTATAACTTTTTAAAATTTATCTTTATTTTTGAAAGTATTATGGATGTCCCCTTTTCCCCCTCATTGATGCCTCTCCACTCCACACCTGCCGTTCCCTGTCATCATCCTAAGCACAGTACTCAAATGCACAAAAATTAAACGCAAATGTATTGAGAAAACATACAACAATGAAAATCCATTTAAAATAGAGAAGGGTGAGATTATGCTTCTAAACTAAAGTTTAATTCCAGGCACAAGGGAAAAATAAACAAGATTAACAGTTAATCTATCTCAAATAAAGTTAACTTTACTTTCAAGTCTAACAACCTAAGATGCTTAAAAACACACACAAAAACACCTTTCTGGTCTACTTTTTACTTGCATGTAAAGCTCTACATTTTCATGCCTTACATTCTATACAGCAGGCGAATGAGAAGTTCCAAGGACAATTTTTAATATCTATCTCTCTCTCTCTCTCTCTCTCAACAATCTGTTGTTAGTTGTTAATTTATCACTTATTTCCCCAAGAATTTGAAAAGTATTTTAATTATTTCCGAATGCTTTAGTCTGATATACTATAGAATGCTTCAAAAGAAGAAAATTTGGAACTGAAGTATCTCTATAAAAATGAAATCTCTTACATGCTTGTGGTTGGCCTGGGGAACATATCCATATAAACAAACAATATTTCTTTTTAATTGTTCTAATGTTATAGCATGAGAACACAGTTTGATGAATTTTAACTGAATTGAGACTCTCAGATGATTTAGAGCAGTGGTTCTCAACCTTGGCTGCCCATTAGAATCACCTGGGAAACTTCTTAAAATCCTGATGTCTGGGCCTCATCCTCCGGAAATTCTGTTTCTTTGTTATGGAGTGAGGCCACAACATTAGTAACAAAGAAACAGAATTTCCGGAGGATGAGGCCCAGAAATCAGGATTTTAAGAAGATTCCCAGGTGATTCTAATGTGCAGCCAAGGTTGAGAACCACTGATTTAGAGAGACAATGGCTCCTGTCACTGAAAGGCAATGAAGCCCCTGAGAATGCTGATGGGGGAGAGGGACAACATTTAATGAGCACGGAGGTGCCACCAGCAGAAAACAAAAGCAATGGGTTAAGTATGAGCCTTCATTTGAAAGTCACAAGAGCAAATGTTCTGAATCACAGGTCGTGATTGGCAGGTGAGCTGCTTCTCCATTGGGCGGCTCTGTGCATCCACAGGGTACCATCAGCTACCTGTTCAACCACGGCAGGTGATTTCTGGAAAAAACAGCTATCTTAATAAAATTAATACAATTTCAGCCTGACTGGTATTTTTGAATTTCTTAGTGATGAAATACTGTCACTGAAGTAAATTCTTGATTTTTAGTAATTAAAAATTATTTTAGAACAAGGTACAGAACAAAATGTACCAAAATTTTTTATTTATTTTTTAAGTGGTTGATTTTTTAAGAAACTCCTCTAAATCTCAAATATGCAGGATGGGTCAAAAGTATGTTTATAGTTGTGAGTAGAGGAAACAGTTTATTCTTTTATTATTATTTGTTAATTATTGTATTGTTTTCCATATGAACAACTGTAAACCTACTTTTGCCCCACCCTGTACTTACACATATTCCTAGAAAATTATTTTGCCAGAGAGAAGTTTTAAAGTCTTAAAATAATGTAACATATGGATTGGAAACTAATAACAGTGAAACTATGTATGATTAACAATGGGAAAAAATGTCAAAACGCCTCTTAAAAATAACAGAAGTACATATAATACAGTCTTTCTTTCTCTTCTAAGTCCCTATGCCCAAATCCTTATAGCAGTATGAGGTCAAGACAGTACACTGGGATATAGGAAAAAGAACTCCCATTTATATTTTTGTCTTGTACTTTAAACTTTCATATTTTTGTGTTTTATAATTATAGTACATGTAATAGGATACGATAGTAATATGTGTATGTAATTGATCAATATATATGCGTATATGAGGGTGTATACTAAAAATCATTTGATGGGGTCCAAGATCAAGAGTTTGGATCTCTGTAAGAAAGAAAAAATAGTTTTCCTGTCTATACAGTGGTTTTAGAAGAGTAATGTTTCTTCCTTCTCTTTGGCTAAAATTTCTATTCAGATTTTAATTCATGTGCCCTTTGGGGGGGGAAACATATATCTAATCATCTGCTGGTCTCTCAACCTCTTAAATCCATGCTCCTGCCTTTGATAGAGACAGATCCCCCAAGAGTCTGTTTGGCCACAGGTTGAGAGTCTAGCTCTGCCCAATCTCATCTTGGGAACTTCTACTTTCTGTGGTGACTATTAGGTAAAAAGTTCCTGTTACATTGTCTAAATACAAAATTAAAATTGAAGTACATTCTTTTCAAACTACACAGCCCCCTTTTCCAGATTGAAATATTCCTGCCAAAGAAGGAATATTCTCACCAGAGTGAGAAACATTATTTCACAGGGAAGAGATGTAAATGACAATAAACACCAGTGAGCCTTTTCTGCCTGTCTATCAGAATCCCTCCTCTTAGAAATTGCCTGAGAGGAAACAAGGACATGAGCACTTACCCAGTGTCTTCTGAATATCATTCTTGGCTGGAAGTAGAGATCCCCTGGCATCTAAAAGCACTTCGGCTGTTTTCTTCAGTTTCTCTACAGCCACCTGCTGACTTGATATCTGTCCTTGCAGAGCCTGAAGGATCGAATGCTTCGATTACACTCAGGACTAAACAGTAGTTTTCCAATATGAAGAAAAAAATGACTTACAGTAAGATAAAGGTAAATTGGACAGAGTAAACTTTTCATCATTATAAACTTAGTCCAGAATTCTTAGAATAAAGCCAGTTATAAAGTGGCGCTAGCAAAACCATCACCAGTTGGAAAAATACAAATTCAGTCTTTTGAAATAAACCTGGAGCATATGTTCATGATAATTGGCCTGCTTCCTGATCCTGTGACCCTTAGCCTGAGCTCCTCAACTCCCACTTCTCTGCTTTGTACAATACCTCCCACTACCACCAGCAATAAAAAAATAAATAAAAACAAACAGAAAACCTTGGGACCATTTCTACTCAAAAATACAAGTCAGGGCTTTTATTTGAAGCAGATCCTAAGTCACTACTGAGTCATATTTTTTCTGTTAATTCAATAAAGGTTACTTAACATCTAACATATTTAAAAAGATCTTGCTACATTTTGTGAAAAACACAAAAATCAGACAGACATGAAGCTTCCCCACAGGGATCTTCTAGTCTAAGCAAGGAGTGAAAAGTGCCAAAAGGGAGTAAAAAAAGTACTACCAGAAGTAGAGAGGAGGAGTAACTGGAGAGAGGCATTGAGATGGTCCTGAAGAAAGTGTGGATTTGGGCAGACAGAAGTGGAGAGGGAGAACATTTCCCTGTAGGATGAACAAAGATGGCAACAGAAGCATCCGAGGGAAAAATGAGGGTCCCATCCAGTCTGAGAGTGTGTGCAGCTGAATAAATAGCAATAGGACTGAAAGGTCGCCAATGTGAGGCTGAGGAGTTTGCATTTTATCCGGCAGCAACAGGGAGTTATTCCAGGCTTTGGAGGAAGGGGTTGGCATGCTCAGAGCTGTCTGATGGAAGGCTACTTTTGTGACGCTGTGCAGAAAAATTTGATGGGAAAGAAATGAAGCACGGACACCGGTTAAGGCAGTGGTTCTCAACCTTGGCTGCCCGTTAGAATCACCTGGGGATCTTTTTAAAATCCTGATTTCTGGGCCTCATCCTCCGGAAATTCTGTTTCTTTGTTACTAATGTTGTGGCCCCACCCCATAACAAAGAAACAGAATTTCCGGAGGATGAGGCCCAGAAATCAGGATTTTAAAAAGATTCCCAGGTGATTCTAACGTGCAGCCAAGGTTGAGAACCACTGGGTTAAGGGCAAAGTCAGCAGTCATGAGGCGGTGAGCGCCTGTCTGAGCCGGGAAAGTAGAACTCGTTATGGAGCTGGGAGGTGTCCACAGGACTTGGTAATCGATCATCTAAAGCTATGCTCGCCAATATGGTATCTGCTCCCTACAAGTGGCTTTTAAATTTAAATCGATTGAAATCAGGCGAAATTTAAAACTCAATTTCTCAGCCACATCCAAAGCTCTAAGACCTAAGTAGTCAGGTGGGACTGGTGGTTACCATGTGGGACAGAGCAGATCAAGGAACATTCTCATCATCACAGAATGTGCCCCTGGACATCACTGCTGGAGAGGGCAGGTGCAAGGGACAAGCTGTGAGCTGGAGGACAGAAGTACCCAAAGGTTCTGAGCCCAGGTAATTAATGGGATTCATAAGCAAAAATGGGAGCAAGTTTAGGTGCAAAGGAGCATCTATTTGGAATGTGTGGCTGCAAAGTGCTTTCAGGACACTCACGTAGAAAGAAACATCACAGCTGGGAATGGGGGCGACTCTGGACACAGGCTAGAACTAGACCTGAAGCCCTGGAGGTCAGGACCCACGATGAGACTGTGAAAGGAGAAAGCACAGAAACACCAGAGAAGGGGGCCGTGCAGCATCATGGAGCGTATTTAGATGTAAGTGGTAAGGAGAGGAAAAGAGATGGAACAAAGGTCATCAGGGACATGGAAGTGAGCCCAGAGGATTCTGTCCCCAGAGTTTAAAAGAAGAGAAGGTGGAAACAGTTAACTGTCAACTGCTTCAAAAGGATAATGTAACCTTTAATTTGTTGAATAGAGGTCCCTGGAGTTCGCTGAGTGAGCAGATGCATGTCAACAACAGCAAGATTGAGGAGAGAAGAGATAGAGATGGAAACCATAGGTAAGTCTGCCAGAAGTCTGGCCCTGCCTTCCTAACACCTCTGTCTAAATGGGCTGCCTGGCCACACGGCCCCATGCTTGGCTTTGATTTCACTTGAGGTATTCAAGCTCCTCTTCTAGTCTCACATTTGGATTTCGAATTCTAATTCCCATATGTCCGACTGTAGATGAACTCATCCCTGGCCATGGGCCCAGGTTTCCAACAGCCTCTTGAATGTTTCCATCTGGGTGTAAACAGTCACCTCAAATTCAAAAGGCTAAATCTGAACCCATCATCTCATTCTTTACACCTGTACTTCCTCCTGGGTTTGCATCTTATTACCCAAGTAGTAAATCTGAGGGTCCTCCTCGACTCTCAATCCTCCTTTTCACATGCAAATCAACCATCATGACCTAACAATTTTACCTGCTTAATATATATATGTATCTTTTTTTATAAAATCAGACTTCCGCTTTGTATTTCTGGATCACTGCAAGATAATCTCTTGCTTAACTGGAAAAAGCACCCAATGTCTTCCCTGCTATAGACCCCCAATGTGTTCTGTGGAAAATACATATCTATGTATATCACTCCCCTCTTTAAAATCTTACAGTAGCTCCCTATTGCACTCACAATAAAAGGCAAAAACTTGAGCATGCTATTAAAGGTCCAGTGAAAGCTATTCCTTAATTCTATCTTCAATGTCATCATTCTCTACTTTCTGTTCCAGAAATGTCCAACAACACAGCTATTTCTTAGCTATTTGCTCATCCTAGATACCTTAGCATCTCTACATACCAACCTTCCCAGCAACCTACCCCCCATCATCCTCAGCTTGACTCTTATTCACTCTTTAAAATTCAGCTGGGAAGCCTTCCCTAACTCTCCCCAACCCTAGTTGTAAGTACTCCACCCAGGAGCTCCCATAAATACCCACTAAATATCAATGTATTTATTTGTTTCTTCTATCAAACTATAACGTCCTCAAGAATTAGGCATTTTTTCCTATTCAGATTTCCATTATCACTGCCTAGACCAGTGCTTGGCATATAGTAGGCCTTGATAAAAGCTTCTGGAATATGAAGAAATACAAAACGCTAATTCACAAAGATATATACACCCCTATGTTCACTGCAGCATTATTTACAACTAGAGGCCCGGTGCACGAATTCATGCACACATGGATTCCCTCGGCCTGGCTGGCGATGGGGGCTGATCGGGGCTGTCTCATCCAGTCCCCATTGGGGCCAATCGGGGCCTGCCAGCCGGGAGGAGGGACCACAGGAGGTTGGCTGGCCGCAGGAGGTTAGCTGTGGGAGCACACTGACCACCAGGGGACAACTCCTACATTGAGCGTCTGCCCCCTGATGATCAGTGCGCATCATAGCTACCGTCCAGTCATCTGGTCATTCAGTTGTAACGGTCGCTAAGGCTTTTATATATATAGATAGCCAAGATATGGAAGCAACTTAAGTATTTGTTAACGAATGAGTGAATAAAGATGTGGTACATGTATACAAAGGAATATGGCTCAGCCATAAAAAAAGCATGAAATCTTGCCATTTGTGACGGCATGGATGTACCTAATGGGTATTATGCTAAGTAAATAAATCAGAGAAAGACAAATACCATATGGTTTCACTTATATGTGAAACATAAAAACTAAAATAAATGAACAAACAAAACAGAAACAGACTAACATATATAGAGAATAAACTGATGGTTGCCAGATGGGAGGTGGGGTTGGGAGAATGGGTGGAAAAGGGGAAGGGATTTAGAAATACAAATTGGTAGTTATAGAAGTGTCATGGGGATGTAAAGTACAGCATAGGAAATATAGTCAATAATCCTATAAAATAAAGAGTTAATATGCTAATTAGACTGAACAGCAGAATGACCGGACAACCTTCCAGATGACTGTCTGGATGACCCTTCCAGACGATCGTCTGGACAACCTTCTAGACAAAGCTGGGGATTCGAGGGCCGAGGCAGCTGGCGCTGCGAGGGCTGAGGCAGCCAAGGCAGCTGAGGCTGTGAGGGCCGAGACCCTTGCACGAATTCCGTGCATCGAGCTTCTAGTACTATATAATAAAAGCCTAATATGCTAAGTGTCTGTTCATCCAGTGACCTGTAGACTGTTCAATCAAATCATAATATGCTAATGATATGCTAAGGCCGCTCAACCGGTCGCTATGACATGCACTGACCACCAGGGGGCAGACAGTCAACGGATCGACCAGTCATTATGACGTGCACTGACCACCAGGGGCAAACAGCTGACTGGTCGACCAGTCGCTATGACGTGCACTGACCATCAGGGGGCAGATGCTCCGACTAGTAGATTAGCTTGCTGCTGGGGTCCGGCCGATCAGGACTGAGCAAGATGAGCCAGACATGCCCTGGAGCCCTGCTGGGGTCCCGATCAGGACTGAGCAAGATGAGCCAGACATGCCCTGGAGCCCTCCTGTGGTCTCTCCCCGACCCCGATCGTGCACTGGTGGGGTCCCTCGGCCTGGCCTGCATCCTCTCACAATCCGGGACCCCTCAGGAGATGTCAGAGAGCCAGTTTTGTCCCAATCCCACAGGCGAATCCCCTCGGGAGGGTGCCAGATGCAGGGCTCACGGCTGGTGAGTGCTGCTGCGGCGGCACTAGCCTCTCCCGATCGGGACTAATTGGGCATGAGCCCATGGCAGGTGCAGTGGGGCCAGGATGAGTGGGAGCAGCAGGATGAGTAGGAGCAGCAGGCGGCATTGGACAGCAGGTTTCAGCCCAATCCCTGCAGGCCACCCTGAGGGACCCCATCCATGCACGAATTTGTGCACCGGGCCTCTAGTATTGTAATAACTATGTATGGTGTCAAATGGGTACTAGACTTAGGGTGATCACTTCGTGAGTTATATAAGTGTCTAATTACTATGTTGTACACCCAAAACTCACGTAATATTGTTTGTAACTAATAGAAAAATAAATTTAAAAATTAAGAAATAATACAGGGATATTTAGAAAAAAAGTTTCTGGAATAAATGAGTGAGTGAATAAGTAAATAAATAAAGATATCAGGTGTAAGACTTTAAAAGATCCTCTTCTATTTCAGCTTTCATCAACAACAAAAAATGCCTAAAGCCAATAGCAACAATGTCCTCGATTTATTTTCATATCCAAGAAATTGTGATGATATACAGGCAGTTGTGTGTACCCCAGAAGGACAACCAAACTGGGACTAACCAGAGACCTGTGAACTGAACACCAGATCCTACAGATGTTCCCAGAGGCCAAAGAGCCAGTAGCAGAGTGAACCTGTTTAGGAAATTCTCCCACAAGTTTAGTTACAGAAAGGATTATATAAGAAATTCCTCAAGGGACTTTACCTATAACCAGACTGAAGTCTAAAAAAATTATTTTTTAAGAATGTGAGTTCCCTGATGGGCAGAGGTAGGGTTTTAATACCTTTGTGTCTTCACAAAACCCAATAATGGGCCTAGCATATAAATGTCTACCAGAAAGCAAACGCATGTAAAAGCTGTCATGGTTTTATAAAATCATCCAGGACCAAGGATGGCCCTGCTACCAGCTTAAAACTTAGAAATGACTGACAAAAGAAGCATCCCTCCTTCACCTCTTCTCTTCAAAACATTCCATGCCTTTTCTCTCCTATTTATGTCCAAGAGAGTCAATAGTTTTTCATTCCTAACATGATATCAGGTTTTAATTGAGCTACAATAATGGTTGATAGTATTACGTTGGGAAAAAAAACTTCAAATTAAAGTGCCATATATTGTCTTTAATGGATTTCAATGAGTTAAAACATGAAAGAAGTATCTGGGACAGAGAATACTGCAAGGTCATGACCTTGGTCTCCAGCCTGGGCCAGAAAAAGATGAACCTGGGAACTTCAACTCATAAAAGCTTCCTGACTTACGGCCATCCCAGAGATCGGGGAAAGGTTGGAAGGTGGTCATTGTCAGTCAACATGACCGAGCTCCAAGCCTGGTCCCAGACCCGGGCCTCCAGAGTGGTCCCGGAACCCTGTCTTTCTGTGCTTCGTGTGGGGCAAAAATTCTGTAGGGTTTGCGGATTTCCCTAGAAGCACAACTTGAGGAATGTCATTATAGCCCAGTGATAACAGATTGTTGACAACACAGCAAACAGTTCTTTGAATAATAATGCTGATAACAACATGCTATTAGACAGAAATGTTTCAAATGAGCCAACTGGGTTTCCTCCATTTACATTTATTATACAATTAAATATAAGTAGAAGTTAGAATTATAAACACAGAAAAGGCTATTTTTTGTAGTAGTCTTACGTGTTTATATTATAGTTAAAGAAAAATAACTTTTCAATGTTGTTAATAGAACTGAAAGAAATAGAGACTGCCTCATTCTCATAAAAATTATCCTCTCTGCAGGCTGAGATCATCTGTGAGGAAAACATCTACAGGTGCCAGGAACAACTTTAATCACACATTTAATTTTTAAAACGATGCTGTGGCTTAATAGAATTCATTCTCCTCTGAGATGCTGCTTTTCTTCTTATACTTCCTCAGCTGCCTTAGAACTAGAGGAATCATCTTCCGCAGTACATGTCAGGTAAGTTTTCTTCTGTTTTAGAATTAATTCACATTTCTGCTTGATTAAAATAGCCACACATTCTTTTGGGTTTCCTTTCCTTTTCTTTTTTTCCTCTAGTTACATAAAAAAAAATTACTTTCACACTGGGTATAATCATCTTCCTAATACAGATACAACTTAAAATGTGTTGTTGTTGTTTTCTATACTTTCCTATACTAAAAATACTTAGCTATATGATTAAATGTAGGCAGTCTTAACAATTATCTTAAGCTATTGGCATTGCCTACCAAAACAATAGCCTCTATGTAATAGCATCTCCTCCAACCCTCCCACATACACTGTCCTTAGACAAGTTATCAAGTGAGAATCAGAAACCTAATGAAGACACATCTGTTTCTGTGCTTGTGGGAAAGAGAGAGAGTAAACAAAACAAAACAGAAAAAAGCAAAGCCCCAGCTGGTGTGGCTCCATTGGTTGGAGCATCCTCCCATACACCGCTCAACTTCAAAATTATCAACTTCAAAAATTATCTCCTCTTAGAAGGTAAAGGGGAGTAAGGCAACTGATAGATGTTTCCCTCTCACCTCTCTCTCTCTCTCTCTCTCTCTTTCTCTCTCTCTCTGCTTTTCCCTCTCTCTAAAATCTGTAAGCATATCCCAGGATGAGGATCAAGGCAACTGATTGATGTTTCCCTCTCACCTCTTACCTCTCACCTCTCTCTCTCTCTCTCTCTCTCTCTCTCTCTCTCTCTCTCTCTCTCTCTGCTTTTCCTTCTCTCTAAAATCTGTAAGCATATCCCAGGATGAGGATTAAAAAAAAATAATTTGCCACCGTATTTAAAAAACAAAACACACACACACACACACACACACACACACACACACACACACACACAAAACACAGTGTTAAAAAGGCACACCCAAAGGAATGAGGCAACCACTAGGACAGTGATGGCGAACCTATGACATGCCTGTCAGAGGTGACACGCGAACACATTTTTTTGGTTGATTTTTCTTTGTTAAATGGCATTTAAATATATAAAATAAATATCAAAAATATAAGTCTTTGTTTTACTATGGTTGCAAATATCAAAAAATTTCTATATGTGACACGGCACCAGAGTTAAGTTAGGGTTTTTCAAAATGCTGACACGCCGAGCTCAAAAGGTTCGCCATCACTGCACTAAGAGGCTACATCAACATAGGGAAGCTGAACTGTCCGAGACATCTCCCTGGTGCCTAATGTAGAACAGGTAAACTCTCCAGCCCAGGAAAAAAGCAGGGCCCCCATCCTCCTTACCTCCCCACATGTCTCCTCCCTCCTCTCATCCCATACCTCCATCCCTCTTCTTTCTGCCTTGGTCTTACTTCATCTACCACATTTCATCCAAGGGGATGACTTAGCTTTCTTCCAGCCAGAAGTCACCAGTCTCAGGCAATACCTAACGTTAAGCTCACTCAGTAGGGTACCTGTTTTCCTAGTTAATTCTGTAACTAACAGATGCAACTGGATTCTGAAAGGCAGTTGTTTAACTGGCAATATAGTGTTCACTTTCTAGCTCCAGTGCCAATAATACTGCTGCTCACCTGCTAAAAGGAATCACAGAATAGATTTATGAAATTAAACTTTCAAACTCAAACTAATTGGTCATTTGGAATAAGAATAAGATACTTCAAAAATTATCTCCTCTTAGAAGGTAAAGGGGAGGGATAAATGGTGATGGAAGGAGACTTGACTTGGGATGGTAATCACACAATATAATATACAGATGAGGTATTGTAGAATTATATACCTAAAACCTATATAGTTTTATTAACCAATGTCATCCCAATAAATTCAATAAAAAATAAATTAAAAATAATGATTTCCCCTTACATTAGGATGTAAAAATATGCTTTAAATTTAAGAAGCAGAGACTCTCCTTGCCACTGTTGGTATGCAAGTCCCACATCAAGCCTGCATTTTTTAAAATATATTTTATTGACCTTATACAGAGAGAAAGGGAGAGGGATAGAGAGTTAGAAACATCAATGAGAGAGAAACATCGATCAGCTGCCTCCTGCACACCCCCCTACTGGGATGTGCCCACAACCAACGTACATGCCCTTGACCAGAATCGAACCTGGGACCTTTCAGTCCGCAGGCCGACGCTCTATCCACTGAATTTTTTAAAGAGCAGGTAGGTTTTTTTGAAAATTGTGCTAGGTAATTAATAACGAAAGTTTATATCTCTATGGATCATGGGAACATTCAGTAGGAACACAATCCTGATCCTCAGAGCCCACATGAGACAGTGACATCCCTTCCTCCCTTCTACCTGTCCATTCTTAAACAAATATTTATCTAGTACAGTGGTTCTCAACCTTGGCTGCACATTAGAATCACCTGGGAATCTTTTTAAAATCCTGATTTCTGGGCCTCATCCTCCGGAAATTCTGTTTCTTTGTTATGGGGTGGGGCCACAACATTAGTAACAAAGAAACAGAATTTCCGGAGGAAAAGAAACAGAATTTCTGGAGGATGAGGCCCAGAAATCAGGATTTTAAAAAGATTCCCAGGTGATTCTAATGTGCAGCCAAGGTTGAGAAACACTGATCTAGTACCTATGATGGGCTAGATCCTGTTCTAAGTGCTTCTAGGTGCTGGGGATATAGCAATGAACAAAATAAACAAAAACACCTGCCCTCATGGAGTTTAATTCTAAAGGTGGAGAAAAACAATAAACAAAATAAATATGTATAAAGTGGCCCAGACGATACTGGTTTTTGTTTGTGGAGGAAGGAGGGGAGGGAGTGGTGGGATGCAGATAATCAGCCATAACAGCAATGTCAACCCAGTTAAACAGCAGTAGAAAAATAATCTCATCTATATATATAAAAGGCTAATATGCAAATTGTCCCTGCAGGAGTTCAACTGGGAGTTCGATCGCTCTCTATGACATGCACTGACCACCAGGGGGCGGCACAGAGTGAAGGAAGGCACCAGCCGGCAGCCAGGGAAGAGGGCCCAGGCCAGCAGCTGGAAGCCAGGGAAGGAGGGCCCTAGCTGGCAGCCGGAAGGCCCTGATCAGCCCTAATCACCGGCCAGGCCTAGGGACCCTACCTGTGCACGAATTTTGTGCACCAGGCCTCTAGTTAGAAAATAAATAGACTGCTAAAAACTAAAGTTATAACCCTCTCTAGAGGGAGAAATATACTTTTCTCATCTTTTGTTCCACTTTCAGGTAAAACTATCACAAAACTGTGGGGAAGTGAAAGGTTTTCAGTAAGACTAATGAAGGGCTGGGTCCCCATCCTCTCTCTCTCTTTTTCTCTTTACCTTGGTCTCTTCTAACTGCCTTTGCAGGTTTTTAGGGTCCACAGCAATGGGTTCAGACAAGTGTTTGCTGGCTGTGACCTCGAAGGCCTGGAGCTCAGAAAGAAGTCCACATGAAGCATCTTCATAGTGTTGATACTTATCCACCAGGTCTTTAAGATTATTCCCAAGGACACTGCACTAAAAATATCAAAAGAGAAAAAGGGTGGAGAATTAAAATCTACCATTTTTATTTGTGTTAAATAATCTTACCACCTATGAATGCTATAACTTAGAAAGCACCAGACTTCAACCAATGTGAGTTGAAACTGTAGGGCTAAGATTTTTCTCCTTTATATGAAGAAGCATCCTCTAACAAAATCAAGAAGTACCATAAAAATGAGGAGATAGTCCTAAATTTATACCCATTTGAAGACATGTTTTCAAGGGCTGAGTCTTGATCCAAAGTGAAAGGTTTGGATATCAATCGTCAGAGGCAGCAGATTTACCAGAGCACATTCCCACTCAGTGTTATACACCAGGTGTCTAGATATGTATGTGATGGAAAGGTTTTCAAGGTCCTTAATGAGTCACCTCTATACATTGCACAAGATTAATTAACACCAGAAGGGCAAACAATCTACATCAGAATAAAGCCAAGACCAAGAGTAAATGATGCTCTTCAAATCACTTGTGCAACTTGGCCAGTCTGTTCAGCTTATATAGTAAACAGGGAAATGTTTTCTTAGTTTTGTGTTTTGTCCAAGGGAATAAGAGAAGCTGAAGGAGTCTGTGAGTTATTAAGTAATAAAATAATGCACTGATCAAATACATCTGTAAAACAAACACTTGCAGTGTTTGTGAAGGGAATTATCTGAGATGAAACTTTAGTTCTCAAGTTTGAGAGGCTGTGAAAATTAGCAAGCCACTGTTTGCCTGGAGACAAAACATGCACGCCACCTGGTGGTAGAACCGAGTATTACTGAGTTTTAAGAGAGAGAGCTGCCTAGAAATCACTCAAAACTAAAGTAATAGTAATAATAACAACTACTATTACTACTTTAGACTCCTAATCTTGAAACATACTTTTCTGAAGTAAAGAAGATGGATAAGACTGAATAAGATAAAACTACCTTACTTTCCCTGCTTCAGTTGTTTAGGTTTCTCATTTCTAATTCCAAAACAAAAGTCGAGCGAATAGAGTAAAAACTATAATCACAGATTGATCTTCCCCTTAAAAAATAAGCTTACCTTAGAGTAGAGAGACCTGAACCGATCCGTGGCACGATCCAATTTGCTCTGGACTTCTCTGTGAGCGGCAGAAGTGTCAGTATTATGCAGGTCGGCCTGGGCACCGCCATCTCTTTTGCTGCAAGACTTGGCTGCTTCCAGCACCCTGTTTCCAGAAATTGTGATGTACCTCAAGTCGCCTTTGTGAGAAATAACATCTTCTGAGAAGCTCTTCTGCCTCTTCAGTTTGGTCATTAAACCACTGAAGTCATCTGCCCCCGCCTGCAGGTTTTCCAGCTCTTGCTCCGACTGCTGCAGCCAGTGCTCGAACTCTCCATAATCCGTGTCGAACTTCTCCAATTCCTCCTGCAGAGAATGTGTTAACTTCATTTTCTTCTCCGACTCGGCCAGTGCAGTTTCGTAGTGCGCTTTCAGTTCCTTCATGTTCTTCTGCAGTTTCTCTTTGTCCTCGGGAGAGAGATAGTGACCCTGCTTCTCCAGCAAGGCTTGTGCAGACTGAGTGGCCAGGAGGACGGCTTGCTGCTGAGAGATGATCTTCTCGTGTTGGGCCTATGGGGAAACAGAGACACTGTGACTTTAAAGCAGGGAAGGGGTTACTCTGAGGTTGTGGGAGCTCTCTGTTGCCTCAGGACCTACAAACTCTGATGATCTACAGACAACTTGCTTCTTATAAACCTTTTCAAGATGCACAGTATTTGCCTTTTATTGGTAAATTTCAGAATAGAAAATGCTACATTTCAGGTACTCTAATCTTATTTTTTAAGATTTCCAATCTCCTTGAAAGTACTCATATAATCACATAGGACACGGACTGCTGTTGAGAAGCTTCGGGAAAATGTAACAGATTTGTCCTCCAATCCTAAAACAAGCACCTGCAGTCAGACCTCATTTTACTCACAGCTTCCTCACAACACCTTAAAGTAACTGCTAATGTCTTTACCTAATTACTGAGCAAATAGGTATAATACTTACCTATGACATGATCCTAAAAGGACAGTTCAACAGAATACAAAATTTGTAATTTTAAAATTATAAACACTATCACAATAGTTAAGCAAGAACAATGTAGATTCTGAGAAGCCCAGTGAACTTAGAGGAACACATGATAAAAAAGAATACTGTAGCTACTAGTTCCACTGGGCCTCAGTTTCCTGCATGTGGAAAATGGAGACAACCACCCATACATGGCACAGGTGCCAAGTTGTTCCTATCTTTTATAGAACTTTTATAGACCCGACAATAGGATTTTACATCATTATGGTGAAGACAACACACCTTAACTTTCTGGTATTGCTGGTTCAGATTCTCCTCAGTGGTTGCAACCGGCCCATCCACATCAGTTTCCAACAGGTTACCATTAACTTCGTCCTCTTCTCCCATCTCCGACTTGCTGTCACCTTCTTGGAAATGAGTCCCGTTCTGTTCAATCACCTGTTTCTGTTTTATCCCCGCCCTTTCTGAGTCTTTGTCAACATGTGACAACCAGTCCAAAAGGTTTTCTATTTTGGTTTTGCTCTCTTCCAGCTGCTTCACAGCTGCAACCTGGGGGGAGAAGGGCGTTGACAATGGGTATTCTGAATACGGGCCCAGATGTCAGTTTTAAGACATCCCCAAAAGTAAATATTAGATCATTTAAAATTAGAGTGGGCATGCATTGAAAACGGAACACACTGGTATTAAACCTTAGGCAGTGGTTCTCAACCTTCTGGTCCTTTAAATACAGTTCCTCATGTCGTGACCCAACCATAAAATTATTTTCGTTGCTACTTCATAACTGTAATGTTGCTACTGTTATGAATCGTAATGTAAATATCTGATATGCAGGATGGTCTTAGGCGACCCCTGTGAAAGACTCGTTCGACCACCAAAGGGGTCGCGACCCACAGGTTGAGAACCGCTGCCTTAGAGGAATAGGAAGTTACTCTGAAGTTTCCACTGTTCTTAAAACACATTCCAAAATTTTAACTATAGCAATTAATGAGTCCTCACATACTTCACAAGTAGAAAGTCTCAGAAACCCACTTAAACTTTGTAGAAAAGGTAAGCAAAGCCAGCTCTTCAAACCTTTTGTAGTAATTTGGTCAATGACAACCGTGGAAACCCAGAATTAGCCTGACCTCACTTAATGAATCAAGAAGCTATGATCCTAATCACTTTCAACAAAGCCACAGTGCACCGCATGCTTGAATAAGGACCTTTTCCGTCTCTTCCTTGATTGCTGTCGTCACAGCTTTCTCCAGCTCCTTTTTCGACTGCTCCGCCTTTAAATTGAGTTGTTCACACTTTATCTTAGCTTCCTTAAGTTTCTCTTCAATCAAAGCCTGATCTTCCCGTGACAGCTTTTCACCATTCTCTTTCAGGAAGTTCTCTGTGTTTTTCACTATTTCTGCCAATGCCTGTGCACTTCCTTGCATATCTTTCTGTAATTCCTTATAACACAAAAGGGGAAAAAACATCTTAGTAGATTGCTACCTATTTAACTTTTCCAATGTTGTAATTCTAAAAGAGGGTCTGTGCAAAGAAGGAGAGTCTAGCACACATAGACTGAAAGAGCATACTCAGTATGTTCACTGAGTTGGTTTACTTCAATTGCAATATTTAATACTAGAGGCCCAATGCACGAAATTCGTGCAAGAGTAGGCCTTCCTTCCCCTGGCTGTCGGCACCGGCTTCCCTCTGGCACCTGGGACCCACCGGCAGGCACCCAGGACCCGGGCTTCCTTCACAGTCCCGGCTTTGTCTGGAAGGTCGTCTGGAAGGATGTCTGGTCTAATTAGCATATTATGCTTTTATTATTATAGATAATTTGAAATCTCAAACAGCATTAAAGAAATATGTGAGATTTTCATGTTTAACAAAGAGATGTGGTTTGGAAAACATTGAACAATAAAGTATTCAGTATATAAACTATATAAATTTGAATATATCAGATTTTTTTATGTTATGTAAGTGCATTTATAAAAGCTTTTAAATACATGACCATATTATTTATTCTGTTTCTAAACACTTTTTAAAAAATATACATCTACTGCTCAGTGTAAAAGTAGATAGTTCTCTAAGTTATGAGCTAAGTTGTTCCTAAAATAATTTCTTTTTAAAAATATATATATATTTTTATTGATTTCAGAGAGGAAAGGAGAGGGAGAGCTGCCTCCTGCACGCTCCACACTGGGGATCAGGCCCACAACCTGGGCATGTGCCCTGACCGGGAATCAAACCGTGACCTCCTGGTTTATAAGTTGATGCTCAACCACTGAGCCATGCCAGCCAGACCCTAAAATAATTTCTATACAAAGATATTCTCTTCTAAACAGCTTTCCTACATCCAGATTTCTCTATGTATTTTCTCCTCTTCTCTTCCTCCTTTACTTGGCACTTTAATTATCTATATTGCACTGTGTTTGAGTTTTCATATTATTTTTCCATACTTTCAAGACTCCTCAAATTCCGAGTATTTGAATTGAAAGAGGTACTTATTGAACTACAACACTGTGATATTAACTGTGCTGGTCATGTAACACAATATTCACTTAACTTTTACCATAACATAGCAATGGAACTATGACCAATGAAGAAACAGAGGCTCAAAAGGTTAAATTATAAAGCTAACAATGTGTAGTGTCTGGGATTTAGACCAAGAGCTAGCTAGTTACAATGAGAATGTTATTTCTTCAGACATCAAAATAAAGATATCTTTATCTGTCATTATTGTTTGTCCCTTCAATGAAAAGGGACACATTGCAGAGAAAGATGAAAGGGATAAGAAAGAGCTAAGAAAGTGAAAGAACCCAAACTGATGGCTATTTCACCTGATTTTGAAAGTGAGTGGTTGGCCTTAAATGGATCTGAGTTTTAATTCACCACACAAGTTATTTCCACTATCAAAACTCCTTTATATCTCCTCCACTCAATATTTCACCAAAAAAATCGTCATGAAAATTATTTGGCTTGCTTGAAGTTGGAAATGTGACTCTTAGTATAAAGTTTATACCTCAGGAGGCCTGGGGGCATCTAGGTATGGCTTGTCTCAGAAAAGCTAAAATGATTGCTTTTTTCCCCAAAAAATCCTAACTACTTTCCAAATAGTAATCGAACTCTACATCAACATAGAACTACTGAGGTAAAACCAAATTCTACCTCTTGCTTGGACTGGTACTTCTTTAACTCAACTGTGCCGTCGCCAATCACGAAGGATTCCTGGTGCCCAATCAGGCGGTTTTCAGTCTGAGTAAGGAGATCACATATTCCTTGGAGTTTCTCTTTGTACTCCTGCTGGCGCTCTGCCACGATCTACAGGGGAACAAAACCAAAGCGTCTTCAATGGGGATCATACGCTCACGATTGTGCTAGCTCCTTATCAGAATACATTTTGCAAGTTTCCTCTAAAAGAAGCTTTCTGAGTATGCTGTAAACATGGTAGCAGTGGGGTACCAACTGAGCAAGGTGACACAGAAAGTAAGAGCTTGTCCCATAAAAAAGGAGAGAGAGCATGTTTGGATGAAACTGCTCAGCAGAATACTGGCCATGCACATGTGTAAGAGATGGAACTTCTGACCGACAGGAAGAAACATTCCATTTTCTTAAGCTCTTGAAACCTGCGACACACAATTAATTCTGTAAAAGGATATCAAAACAGAAGTTAGTCGTGATGTGTCTGTTAATATATTTGACATGTGCATATAGGCTGTCATGCTAGAGACAATGCCTGGTGTTTCAAGAAATAATAAAAAGAACATCGCATGCAGAAGCTTTACTTATTCACTATGTCTAATTCCATTCCCACCTCTTTGTTCATTATTGATTGCTATTGGATGCAGCACTCTAATATAATCCATTAAATAAGAGTACATTTCAAGTACTCTAATCTTATTTTTTAAGATTTCTAATCTCCTTGAAAGTACTCATATAATCACATAGGACACGGACTGCTGTTGAGAAGCCTCGGGAAAATGTAAGATTTGTCCTCCAATTCTAAAACAAGCACCTGCAATCAGATCTCATTTTACTCACAACTTCCTCACAACACCTTAAATAAGAGATTTATTTCATAAGTCAATTACTTGTATCTTTCACTATCCGATTACACACACACACACACACACACACACACACACACACACACACACACACTAGTTTATTCATCTTATAGCCATAGATCATGTTTACTAGGCGCCTACCACATGCTGGGCAAGGTGCTGAGTGTTTTATATTCATTATTTTATCAATGTTCACAATATGACCAGGCAAGCACTGTTACTATTTCCAATTTACCAGTGAGAAACCTGTGGATAAATGACTTGCCCTAGCTCCACAATGAGTGAGTGTAAACTGAGGCAGTCTGGCTCCAGAGCCCTGCTCTCAACTCCTGTGCTACACTGCCTCCTAGGGGACAAAGATACCCTTAACCTTCTTTATTCCTATGTTCATCAATCTATCCTTTGATATTTCCCAGTGCATCTGTATATCCTACTCCTAGGAAAAAAAGTGAGGACTCTCCCTTGAAAGCAGTAGTTTTAGGGAGTCATGAGTATTATAACAATGAATTATAACATTATTATGGAAAGTAGTATTATTCTATATGGTAGAATCTCCACATTATACCCTGTCCATTAATTGCCTTTCCAGAAAAATCTTTCCTATCACGCCATAATCCCTGGGTATCGACATGACAGGCTTCACACTGAAGAACTGAAAACACAGAGTCCACAAAGAAAGGCAAACCTTCTGATCATCAAGATCTTGTTCTAGCTGTAACTGAGCCTCTAAATGTTCCACCTGGGTAGTTACTGATTCCTGCACATCAAGAAAACACCTCTGAGTTGTATTTAAGAGCCTCAGCAGCTGTTTGCTCTGGCTGGGAGACAGATCTTGAGCATATTCAGAAATGAAGAACTGCACATCAAAGGCAGTAGTGTCCAGCTGCATTCTGGTGTGTCCAAGCTCCTTTAACACGTTCTGTGAACAAAGCAGTACAAGTTACCAACAGGGAGGTAAGCCGTAATATACAGCTTATATTTGCAATGATATTTATTTTTAAAATATGCTTCTTATATCAGGTTTTATTGATATTTTTCATTTAGTCAAAAATCTATTCATCACCTAGTAAAAATGGTAATGATGAAATTATTTAAATAGTGCAGTAATTAATCCTATATAATAAAAGGGTAATATGCAAACTGACCGAACGGGCAGAACGACTGGTCACTATGACGCGCACTGACCACCAGGGGGCAGATGCTCAATGCAGGAGCTGTCCCCTGGTAGTCAGTGCACACCCACAGGGGGAGCACTGCTCAGCCAGAAGCCCACAAGCCGGGCTCACAGCTGGCGAGTGCAGCAGTTGTGGCGGGAGCCTCTCCCGCCTCTGTGGCAGTGCTAAGGATGTCTGACCAATGGCTTAGGCTGAGCTGGCCGGCCTAAGCCATCAGTTGGACATCCCCTGAGGGCTCCCAGACTGCAAGAGGGCACAGGCCAGGCTGAGGGACCTCCCCCTCACCCCCCACCCACAGTACACGAATCTCGTGCACTGGGCCTCTAGTATTATATAAGAAGACTAGAGGCCCAGTGCATGAAATTCGTGCACAGTAGGATCCCTAGTGGCTGCTGGCTAGAGGTACCTCCCTTCCCCTCCAGCCGCCTGCAGCCGCCAGCGGCCCCACCCCCTGATCAAACTCCCGGTCAAGGGGACAATTTGCATATTAGGCTTTTATTATATAGGATAACCCCTCTAAGAATATTTTAACCTTGCTTGCCATATCACACTTCAAATGTAACTCTGACCAAAAGTAAAGTTCCAACTGATATACATTTGGCACGCTGGAGGGAAACATCAACGTTAAAATATTGCTTGCTAATATTTATAGTACCCATGCAACTGTGGTCACTCATAAACGAGACTATGGGGAATTTGAAACATAAATTAAGTGGGCCAGCATTTCAGTTTCCTAACTCCCAAGTCAGGGGCCTACCCATCATTCATGAGGCATGCTGTTCAAATTAAGAACTTAAAGGTGGGGTGAGGCAGGAAAAAAAGGACTAAAGGACTAATACATAAAAACTACTTACACTATGATAAATTTATATGATTAATTTATACTATTAGGGATTTGAATAATATATATAAATAAAAACATAAAAACAGAGTGTTTAAGGAAGCAGCAATAATGCAATCCTCAGGGCTGATGAAGAGGGCTGCTACCCAGGAGCTGTGTTTTTTGTTATTGTTTTAAAACTTGCTTTTGCTTTCATATGGCAGGTGAGAAAAAGAAAAAAAAAACATAAAAACAAATCTCAACATGTCTATAAGAGTTTCATAGGCAGTTGGGATAGCATCAGAATGGCATCCATAAAGTTGACTTTATTTTATAGTTGTGTCAACTATGAACAAACATCTTGTAGACACAAAGAAATAATCCTTCATAGCTTTAGAAAAGTCGTATTTTTTCTAAACATTTGTTATATTAAATCCATAGGTTTTTAAATGCTTTGTCTTATTTTGATACCTGCCTTGAGAAACTCCAAACTTTTCTTTACATGCTCAGTATCTTGAACATTCACTGGCTCCATGTCCTTCACCAATTTGCTCTTCTCTGATATCCAGTGTGAGAACGACTTCAGTTTGTGCAGAAATTCTCCATGGGAAATGGCTAGTTTCGACTAGAAAACAAAATTGTGCATTCATTTCTGTTTCTAAAATTCAAATTCCTACAAATGGTGATTCTGTTTTAAGAGCTTAGCCCTCTAAAAATAAAATACTTATGTCTTATGATTACATTTTTAAATAATCACATTTTCTTCAAAACTTCAATCTCAGTGTGAAACGTGTTGAAGCCTACCATTTCACTGTCAATCGCCAGAACAAGGTGTTTCATTCTTTCTGAAGATACGTCGCTGAGGGAAGAGAAGGCGTTCTGTAAACTTTGGAGGCTTACACTCAATTCCTCACGATGGTTTCTGGGGAAGTCACTGGGAAGAGACTTTAAAAATTCTTCTGCCAACTTCATGTCCTTTCTTAAAATAACAGCAATTGGAGCCAATCCCAATTCAAATGTCTTAAAAAAAAATAAAGATAGATGATGATTGATAGATAGATAGATAGATAGATAGATAGATAGATAGATAGATCCCAGAGCTATTTAGTGACAAATACAACTAATATCCAAAACATAAATGTAAAGTGCTCTGCTTACTTTCCCAAACTAACATCAGCCGACTCCCACCCATTACAGGCAGCAGATAATTCTTACCTCTAACTGCTTAAGCTGATTCTTCAAAGCTTCTAGACTGTTATCCAGAGACTCTTGGTTGTCTAAGGGAGGCTTCATATCTTGAAGCAAAGCCAAATACTCGTGCATTTTTGATGTGTGCTGTAAACACTGCTGTAGCTCATTGGATAACTAAACACAAATTTGGACATTTTAATTCAATAGCCTCTATGCAGGTTTTTAGAGCAAATAAAATGTATGGGGTGATTCCCAAATGTTTCATGCAGCTACTTTATATGAAATGTAAAGTCAACTTACTTGTTCCATTGAGCTATCTCCAGAAGTCATGTCTTTTGACCCTGAAATACATTCCAGATGGTCTGGGAAATCATTGCATTGTTCCTCCAGCTTCTCATCTCTTGACAAGGCTGATGCACGTACAGTAGAGTTTTCTGGTCCAATTTCTTTTATATTCTGTAAATTAAGGGAACTGTGGTTTCCTTCTTTGCTTTTATGATCATTAACAATGTGTGGTTTTTCATGCACCGTCTCAAAAGTAGTAGATGATTTTTGATTCAAGTTTCCAACCTGTTCTGCTTTGTCTGAGTAGCCATCAGCAAGCAGCTTATAGAAAATATTTTCAAGTTGCAGTGGAACTACCTTAGATGTCATACCTCTTTTCTCTAGATCATACTCCATCTGCGTTAATTCTTTTATCAATTCAAATGCTCCTGTAATTTTCTGGCTATACTGATTTTGCTTAAGTATATCAAGGAGAAGCTCAGACTGAAGATTTGCAATACAGAACGGATCATCTCTACTCTCTGCTCTTAGTTCTGGTGAGTTATTCATGAGGGAAATTCCAGTACAGTCACTGATCTTAGAGTCGTCGCTGGGCAGACTAGCTGCATCCTTTACCAACTGTGATGTGCTAACCCTTTTAATTAAGCTTTGAATTAACATTTCAGTATCCTCGCAAGCTGAAGGTTCTCCAACCTCTTGAGAATTCATATGACCTTCATTCAACCTACTTTTTAAGATGTCCTTGACATCCTCAACAAATGCCTGACATAATTCAGGGGTCTGAACCTCTTTTTCGTGAAATCCTGGAGACAAGGCTTGTTCTCGTGGCTGTTGCTTGATTATTTCTTTCTCATGGTTCATTTCTGAGAATGTGCAGTCTGTGCTTAAAGTGTTACTGGAGTTACCACTTCTTATTCCAAGGCCTTCCACATTTCTCAGAGGTAAGATTGAAAGTGTGCTTTCCTTTCTTTCTGGTGTGAACTGAGGCATTTCCGCTCCTCCTTCTGAGGTACATTCTTTAGTACAAAGGTCATTCTGTTGAGCCATCTCATCTAGAGGTGAGTCTTCTTGAGTCAGGGTTGCTTTCTCTTTTGCATTATCAACTCCTAACTCTAAGTGTTCTTTCATGGGAGGGGAAGCTATTAGAGTACCACTTGGGATATCCTCATGTGGCTTCAATACATCTTTTGCTTTTACATCTTTTGCACAATGTTTTAAATAAGTAAACAGATCAAGTTCTTTCTCAGGTCCATCAGTGAGTGATTCATTCTCAGTCGTTGTATTCCCTTCAGACAATACATCTGAAGTAATGTCACTGATCACTTTGGAAGCTGATGAGTCAAATATTTCTTCAACATTCCCAAATGAAACAGGACTTTGACTCACAATTGTTTGTAGATTCTTTGGTTCATCTTTAAGAGCTACAGTTGTTTTTTTAAGGCTTCCTTTATGATTATGTCCTTCATTGGTTGTGATCTGTGGAAACAGAAACTGAGTAACTAAATCAAGACTCTCCCTCGTACTTTCACTAGACAAAAGATTGAGATGTTTATCATCTTCTGCTTGACCTTCCATAAGCCCTTCTCCTTTACCTGGGAACATTTTATGAATTGATGTTTCATCTTCTGTTAGTATATTGCTTTTGTCATCTCTCTTTTTCATTACATCTCTTCCATTTCCTTGATGATCTTTATCAGTTACAGAGTCCACAGATGACAAATGGCTTTCCTCAGCAGGTTTTCCTATTAAAACAGTCTCAGAGCCAATGATTTGATCAGAAGTTGAACGAATATCAGTGTTATGTAAAATACTTCCAGGGCCAAAGGTGGGTTCTGATTCAGTGTCTTTAACGGTAGGCAGCAATATATCCTTAACGGCCATCTCAGGACTCAACAGATTTTCTTTGCTTCTTCCAACCACCTCAGTTGTATATTCTGGAAGGTTGCCTCTTTCAGTAACTAAGCTTTTACTACTTGGTTCTCGCTGTAAAACATTTATACTTTGCTGTTTTTCTAGAGAACTATAATTTTGCTTTTTACTCAGGAGAATCATTTCATTAATACTTTGATTTTCATGGCTGTTTTCCCTTTCTTTCACAGTGGCAGCACACAACTGGATATCCATACCATCAGCCTCATCTTGGTACATGGTCTTTTCCTTCTCATCTCCTACTCCTTCTTCTTCTTCTTCTTCTTCTTCTTCTTCTTCTTCTTCTTCATCATCATCATCATCATCATCATCATCATCATCATCGTCATCATTCTGACCATTACTGTCACACAAATAATCCCCATAACTTTCTTCATATTGCATAGAATCAAAATGATCAGTATCAGATTTCAATTCTTGTCCAGTTACATATCCTTCTTCTTTTCTCCCTCCCCAACAGCCAGTGTCATCAAATTTTAATGAAGCACTGAAGCTATCGTTCCTTCCCACTATTTCAGAATCAGTCAGTAAGTCAGACTCATCACCTTCTAGATTATCTGTACTTTCCCTTTCTGATTCAGTTTCCAACAACTGTTCGTTGATCTTAGATGAGCCGACTGAATTTAAAGGTATTCTTTCATCAGAATCTAATTCCGCTTTCTCCATACCTATGAGACAATCCTGAAAAGACTGGGCTTTCCCCCTCACTCTTAAGCTATCAACTAGCCCCCCCTGAATCACCATAGGCTTTTCATCCTCTCTGGGAACATCATAAAAAACACTGCCAGGACAGGCAGCCCCATCATTTTCCTCTTGCAGTGTGTCATAGTCCTCGGGTTGCAGACAATCACAATCATCACTTTCAAGAAGCAGAGAATCATGGTCATCGTCTTCAAACAAGGGAGTATCATAAAAATCATCGTCGCTATCAGTGTCTGTTTCGGTGTCCCTCTGCTGATCATCCAGTAGGGACATTTCATAGTCACCAGCACCAGCAGTTTCTTCAAGCGATGATGTGCCATAAACACGAGATGCACTGGCATGATCAGGATCACCTGTTGGTGTTACGGCACAGGAGAACTCCTCCACTGCGGACTCATTTTGCATGTCTTCAGGTTTCTGTTGAGAAGCAGCATGCATTTTTTCATCTTCCCCACTAGTATCTGAAATAGCTTTGTCACTGTGATATTGTACCTGGGGATCACTATGAGCAGTATTTAAAGATTTTTGTCCACAGTGTTCTTCCTTCAAACTAATGTTAATAGCTGCAATTCCTAGAAACTGGTCTTGAGGTTTTTCTCCCATTCTTGGACCCAATAATGTGGACTGGTCGTTGGATGGCACTGTAGAGGCTTCCCATTTATTTCCATTGTTCTCTGCGGTGTGTAAATCATTAAAACTTCCCCAATCATTCCTCAGTTTATCATGACTTAATAAGGCACTCAGCCTGGGGGAATAGTCAAAGACAGGTGACTCCTTGTCTATATTATCTTCAGTCTCTGTTTCTTTCAAGTTACAGATGCTACTAGTTTTTGATTTCACTATGGAATTTGTTGTCAAGTCACTTTCAAGGTTTTGCATATTTTTAGAATGACTACATTCAGCTGCATGTTCATTTTTTTCAAGTTGACTTTGACTTTCACAGTTTTTAGGTATATTTTCAGAGTCTGCAAGTCCAGACTGTGTAAAATAGGATGCAGAATTGAGAACATTCACGCTAGATGAATTCTTAACTTTATGATCTGCTACCATTATATGTATCAGGTTTTCCGACTGACAAAATTCACTGAGAACATTAGTTCCCATTTCATTAAACTCTTCTTCTAAGGCATGCTTTCTATTTTCAGGAATTTCTTTAGGTTTAGGTTCTCCGCAATGGCATTTGTCAAAACTACTTGATGAAGTTATACTTTCATCCATTTCTTTACTTGGGGCATTATTCAGAAATATGCCAGGGAGTCTTAAGGCATCAATACATTCCTTTATGGGTGTATCCTCATCAAATTCTGTACTACAGCCTTCTAGTAGCATACCAACAGCCTCATTCAAGTCTCCATCATACAGCAACAGCCTCTGCCCTGTGTTTGCATCCATGTAGCTATTAATCATCAAGTAAGACAGGAACATTTTTTTAGTCTGTTCTGAACTCTGAGTTGCCACTGGCTCTTCTCCATCAAAACTATCTTCTTCTTGCCTATAATCATGGACTATAGATGGTTGGAATTTACAAAAAGAGAGCCATCTTCTGGCATTCTTACAGGCTTCTAAATCTCCCAAATCTGGCATTTTATCGGGCAGCATTATACTTTTTAAAATCAATGTTGTGTTGTTATCTATAATTCCTAACTGCTGCGCCACATCTAAACCGATGACTTGAGAAGTTTCTGGAATATAAAGAGCAGCTATTTTCTGCCTACCATTCAGGATTTTGTAAGCCAATTCATTTGTAATCAATTTCTGCTGCAGGGAAGAAGATGCGGGAAATATTTCACCAGAGTGAGGCCAAATGAGTCCAACATAGCCTCGCTGAGCCTCGAGTACCAAAAGAGCACTGCTCGAAGTTATTAAATCACACTGGACTGCTTCATCTACAGTTAAACGTTTGGCAGGGTTTGAGTGGATGATCCCACCTGTCTGAACCTGGTATGTTAGAATGCTGTTAGCAGTATCTCTGTCAATCACCCCATCTGCCACAGCTTCTTCAACAGTCATTCTTTCACCAGAGTTGCAATTGATCAGACCTCCAGAAAAAAGCTGTGCACCTAACAACCGAAACATGGTTTCACGGTCTATGAGACCTTCATGAGCTGCCCTTAAAATGCTAATGCTCCTTCCACATTTTAAAGTTATTCTGCCTCCTTCTTGTGGCCTCACAGGTAGAAGCCGCAACCCAGTGTTTTCCTGTAAAATACTTCTTTCCATAATATCTACTAAAGACACCTTCTCAGAGGTACATGGATCGATAAGGTCTTTGTACATCTTTTGCCTTTCCAAGACTTTAGAAAATAATGCTGAGGAAACCATGTTCTGTTGGAAAGCCTTCTGGAGGGTCAACTGCTCCCCTGTGACTGGAATGACTAGTGAGCCTGTGGACAGCAGTATCTCAAGAACTCTGATGGCCATGGACTCTGATATCACGCCTTGAGCCAGAGCATCCAGCACTGGAATTGTGGTGGAAGGCACAGCAGAAATAATCTCCTTTGCTTGATTCAGTTCTTTGAGTTGGCACAGAACTTGTTCATCAATGAGGCCTTGACTTTTGGCACCTCTGAGGTCAAAGCATTGCCTTAATTCTGGTGAAATTAGACCGGAAATCATTAGCTGTGTCTCAAGCAACCTTATTCCTGTGTCATAGTCGATAAGGCCTTTTAAAACTGCCTGAAAGATGGAAAGGACTTCTCCAGTTGTCTGGTCAATGGTGCCTGCAATCACTTTATCCAGCTGAAAGGAAAATACAAAATTATCAGATCAGTCTGTGATTCAAGGGTGGGCAGGATTTCACAAAACTTCACATGCATTTTAAAAAAATAAGTAATACACTTCAACATAAAAATCCTCTACTTACCAAGGCGTGGCAATGCTGTGAATGTTAGGCAGCTCAAATGCACAAGTGATCTATGTCAGTGATCTATTCAACAGCACAGGATATGATAAAAGCTTTGAAAACAACATGCATCTGTGAATTGAAAACTTAATATTGTGTACATTAACAAGGTTAGTGAAGACACAACAGAGTAAATGACGACAGTGAGAAAACAGAACACATACCTAGAAGGCAAACCATGCTTTCTGCAATTGGGTGAGATTAGTTTACTAACAGGAAAGAGAGTATCAAACCCCATGCTATTGATGTTTACAGCATACAAACTTCTTTCTAGTAAAAAATAATGAACCAGAAAAACTGTTACATAACCCCAAAATATAAAAAAATAGTGTGTAAAGTACTCCAGGGAGTAAGGGAATTGAATACAGAGATAACTTTTTGAATCCTGAATATTGTGAATATGTATTGTGAAGTTTTAAAATCTTAAGGAGAGGCCAAATTTTAAGTGATTTCTGTTAGATTTTAAGAAGATGCTAGGATATCTTCATTATAAATATGTTCCAATGTTATTCAAATAAATCTTATGGATATCTCTAAAAATCAAACAAATCCCATAACACTTCAACGTCACCTTTAGACATGACTCAGAAGCTATTTTATAACATTATATTCATATAGCAAAATACCTAATGCAGCAGAAGAATGGCTTCTAAAGAGAAGAGTTAGAAAAATGAATGATTCTTTCCTTTTATCATGCAAGGCGCAGATTAAGATGTCACATAAACTGATGACAGCAAGTGTAAGATTGCAATTAATAACACTGAAATCTCCAAATACCTACATGAACTCCATGTTTTTGCCATGTACACATTTCAAGGTCATTTCTTTACCATTGACATTTCTAGAATCATGCAGTAAAACTAAGAACCTTGAAATAGCTTCATGTTTTAATAATATTACCTTCTCTTCTACCTTTACATCTCCTGTGGTTTGTGATTCTTGTAGTTGTTTCAGAGAGTCACTAAAGAATAAATTATAACTTTCTTGGAGAGTTTTCATTTGTTTTTCCAGTTCATTTCTTTCTTCATCTGTCAATCTAAAATAACCAGAAAGTATGAAATGAAGAGTGCAAGTCCTCAAGCAATAAAGATGATATATTAGGCTCGATGATTTTATAAAGTACTTTTCTAAATAAGTATACAATCATAAAATAAAATATCTCATATACAGACTGATCAGGTCTTAGAATGACTGCATATGGAAATTAAGGGTGGTGCTAAACACATCTAGGAATCCTTCTGTTGCCTAAAAATGGGGACTGAAGGAAAGGGTATGAATTAATATATTAGCACCTCTCTAGCATATACACAAGGAACATTAGTATTGTTAGTCCCAACATGGGAAAGGGACAATAAGACGAAACTTGTTGAAGCTGAAGGATGAATAAAGAGAAAATAACATTATTTTCTAAGGTACAATATAAAATCATTCTGGAATAATCTTAAAGTGGTCAGTCGAAATGGGCTTAAGAAAAGGGTAGATTCCTTCCCTGTTTGAGGCATGAGCTGAAATATATGAAATGCCTTGTTGCAAAGAGTAGGACCAAAATATGAGAAATCAGGTTGCCACAGGTCTCAGTTAAGAAAATGGAGAATTTATTTACACACATTTTCCAAAAGGTAAGTCTCAGACAGTACTACTTATATTAAGACTTGGCTTGGAGTCTTCACAACTCACTAGCTACTGATCCTTAACCTCTCTGAACTTGTTTTCTTAACAATAATATATGGAGATAATAAGTACCTTTTAGGCTTTGGGTAAAGACAGATTAAAGTGACTAAAAATGACAATTACTTAAATTGCTAAATTTATAATCTCATGTAAATTTGTAATTTCTTAGTAAACTACATTACTAAGTAAATTTGTGACTGAGTTCCATTTTTAAAATCTCAGCTAAAATTTACCATCTTCTATTTGCCTAACGTTTTTCAGACCACTTTCCTACATCGAAAAAAAAAGGTTCATGAAAACCAACATACTTGTCTCCATGTTTAGCCAAAAATATCTGCATGGTTTGAAGTGCCTCCGATAATTGTTCCTTCTTGGTTAATATTTCTTCACTGGAAATCTGCAAGGTAATGAAAATGCATTCATATTCTGCCCTCATAGAGACTAACCAACAGTAATTTTTAAAAATGACTCAAGTCTCATCAAGACCCAAATGATGTCTATTTTCTGAGGGACCCAAGTCAATAACTCATTACTTATTATCAGTCTATGGGCCTGGATAAGAGGAGTGCTTTATATTTAGAATGCATAATTAAGAAAAGCCTTATTATTTCATAAGGAAATAACAATACAGCATTATATGGTTTCTGCATTTGTCCCATGCAACCATAAATCAAGTTGCCTTATCCCAGAGGTTCAGCGCCGGCCCAATGTGTTCCTTGTGCCTAAAACATACATGAATGAAGAACACTACTCCCAATGAGTATCTTCCTTCCCCCACACTCCTGGATACCATGCTTCTTTTGAAAAAAATTATCGTGACAGTTTAATCTGTATGTCTGCACATCAAGAGTAAATAATTTTTATTGCTAAGACTTTCACTTGAGAAAGTTGCCTGTGATGGTCAGAGCCATAAAATTGATCTCTCTGAGGATAATAAGCAACACTTTCTCCTAATTTCTAGTATATCATTTCTGAATACCTAATATCAGAAATTAATTGCCATTCTTTTAAATGAGCAAAAATGAGAATGATGGACCAATGAAAAGGTCTCATTCCCCTTGATGTATTTGACTTCCAATCAATTTCAAGTCTATTTTTCATGGTTACAGGTAATAATGAGGCCATATTGATATTTTGAAAGACATTTATTATTCACATCAAATTGCCTTAAATTCTTTTATCAAGTGTTATTAGAGATTTATAATTCAGGCCACAGTCTGCATTAAAAAAAAAAGTATGTGTCTACCTTTTATGTCCAGTAGGTCTAAAACAGGCCTAGTAAAATTTTGGAGAATTGAAAACTACAGAATGTGAAAATACCAATGGTTTATAATCCACATTTCTCAAAAGAAACTATTGTCCTAGACATTTTTGCTAAGCTCTTGTCCCTATTTTAGTTCTTTTCCTATTTAACAAGAGGGGAAGAAAAGAAGACATTTTAAACTAAATATATGCATAATATTATTTTGAAGGTTTTGCATTTAAAACATCTAATGTAGTTGCTTTCCAGTTTCTTATTCCTTCCACACCATATGAAATATAATAGCAAGATTATGAGCGAAAATGGCTTTATTTCATTGAATAATCAAAGTATATACGCAGACTTGAAAACTTCAAGGGGGAGCCTTGGATAAAGTACATCTGCCTCAAGCCGTAGGGATAATTAGACAAGACACTGAAGTTTCCCCTGCTTACTTATGTCAACAATGTCAGCTGATGATGAGTACTGATGTGGAGCTAGCAGGGAACACCAATGATAGCTAATAGCCCCTAAAGTTTCCAAACATCAGGCAGGGGCAGGGTAGGGCAAGTTTTTCCAAAAAAAAGTGATGCTTAATTTAGCAGACATATTTTAAAAACACAGCTGCAGTTCCGGTGCTGTCACCACCAGCAGCAGCAATACTGAAAGTTACACCTTAACGACCAATGCCCTGAGAGCTTCAAGTGGAGGCAGTCCCATGGACACCATGGAGCACCAGCACCTCAGAAGCTGGAGCTACCCTGCTAATGCCAAGTAGTTGGGGTACAGAAAATAGCCCACAGAACTAAATAATTCATTTAGGTAAGGGAAAGAATCTAGAATTTCCAGTGATTGATGGGAGAACACTTCTTCATAAAACAAAAAAAAAAAGGTCCAGAAAGGCACAACTAAACTCAAACCTCAAAAATGTGAATATCCTAGTTTGTATTTTTGTAATTCTCTGTTTTGTAATTCTTGAAGCTTTGTTTACATTTGTGATACGGAAGGCCTGGATTTACTCAGGGCACACAGGATGCCTCTGCTGCTCTTTGGCAATTCTCATCATAGTCATCAAGAAGCAGGTCTAACCATTAGGAAAAGCAGCACAACATATCCGCTTACTACTAATATGACTAATATATATAGTTCAGGCTTTGGAATCAGAAACACCTTCTTCTGCCTGCCACATACTGTGATTCATTGGGCAAGTTACTTAACCTATCTGGTCCTCATTATAAATACCTATAAAAATGGGGGGCGGGAAGGGGGTAAAGAATTACACGTTTTTTAGGTGGACTGTCATGTCAGTAAATTCTACCCACTATTATTATTATTAACCAGGACCTCGGTGAATACCTTTTGCTTAGAGAAGGGAGATTTCCCAGCCTTCTCTCCATCTCTCAACATCTTGCTGATATTTGACACCCATTTCTGTAATTCTTTGGCTTTTTCAACATGCTCTTTTTTTTCTTCTTCCAGTGACTTCTGGCAGGTGTGAGTAGTAAGAAAAGATATATTATAGTAAATGACCGAGCTATGAAACTCATCTCTCCATAGAAAACAAGTGTAAAAATGTGTTTTCATCACACTCAGGTTACTGAGACCTTTTATTCATTCACTTAACCATGCTTATCACGTCACATAGCAGATGTACTCCCAAAATGTTTATGGCAGCAAAGGAAGCTGTGACATTCTTCAATGTTCAGTCTACCCTCCCAGCTGGTCTATCAATACGACAAATTTAAAAACTTGATTTTATTCAGAAGCACTAGAAGACCTCTGAGTGGTTGCCTTTGCATTAGCAGTACAAACACAATTGTCTTGGCAGAAAAGTAGGAAACAACAGAAAGCCGAAAGATAGAGAATGTGTACACACATTTGGAAAACACATAAAATGAAGAAAAGTCTTTCCCCCTCTTCCAACACACAATCCAGTCATCACAAAGTCTAACGAGAAATGGGAAATTGTGGTAAATGTTTAATATGTAAAGAAGGCTACTACATACAGAAAAGCTAAACACTTTTTCATTTTTCAAGGCAATCTGAAACACTATCACTACAGGGATGTTGGGGAAGAATGTACATCTCTCCCTTTGGTTCCACGGTGCTTTCTGGAGAGCTCTTTCAGTGAGTGTGCGGGATCCTTCAATGGATCATCAGGCTGGATCCATTCAGTGATGCAGTTCTGAGGAAAGGATGCTCTGAACTTGTTGGACTTCAAGCTTATGCTGTATTCTAGGCAAAATACTTTTATTTTCAGTGTGGGCAAGATTGAAAAAACTCATCTCAAAGTTAAATGAAACCATTTTTGAGAGCAGTAAATCTTTTGTGAATTTCAATTTTACTCTCTTCTGAACCGTCAGCTATTTTCAGCCCTCCAGAAATAAATGTTGTTTTGAGTATGTGACACAATTACTAGACTGTATATTTAACTGATTTAATCATGCTCTGGACAGATCACATGAACTGGACTGCATCACTCCTGTGCAAAGTTATTTCAACATGTTCTATTGTGACGAATAATAGAGGCTAGAAATCCCTGTCATCAAGGGTTCAGATACTTCTAAGAGTTTAAGTCCTGTGTGGAAATCAAAATCAGCCTTTTCTAATGCTTCTTTATATGTCAACTTTCTTTTTGTTTGGGGACATATTATATTTCTGACATAAGACTTTTGATCTTTGAGATTTGTGGCAAGGAAGACATCGATAATACCTACTTGGAGAGCCTCTTCGATTGACAACCGGGAGTGACCCTGTGGCTCTATCAACCCCCCAGTCAAGTACTGAAACTCCAAACATCGGATTCCCATTTCCTTACTGATGATATTTGCATTCACAGCGTCCACCACTGACATCGCTTTGTTCTTGACAGGATGGCTAATGCCTGTGATGACTAATTCACACTGTCGCAGCTGCTGGGCAAACCCCTCATCAACTAGGCCTCTATGCAAAGCTTCACCCACCCGGTACCTTTTGCCAGTAAGAGGATCAATTATCCCCCCTGTGCTGACTTGGGCTTCAAGGCATCTGAGGGCCGTAATCCGATCAATCAAATTTCTACGGGAGGCCTTTAGGACAGAGATCCTCTCTCCACTAGACGTCAGCCAATACCCTGCAATAGGACTATGCAAATCCTTCTTGGGAACTAACCGGCTCAGCAAAGAATCAGCAAGTTCTGTGAGTGTGATGAGGCCTTCCTGATACTTTTTGACCAAAGCTTTGTCAAGGGTTCCCTGTTCCACAGCCTCGTTAATATTGAACTGTAACCCTGTTTTAGCATCAGCCAGCATATGGGAAGGATTCCCATAGGATTCAAAAAACGTGGCTTCCCTCCACTGGTACTGCTGCCCTGAGAGCTCAAGGTATGTGCTTTTTTCTATTAGGTTTCTCTGGAAAGCCTCATATGCAGTCAGTTCTGCTCCTGTCTTGATATCTACTACGGAAATCCTATGAGTTTTTGCTACATTGAGATTGGAAATGTTCCTCTCCCCAAATGGAAACAGAAGGCATTGGCAATCTACATCAAATACACACATCTGCAGTAATTCTGAATAATACAGAGCTTGCTTGTTATTGGGATTAGGAAAAACTCGTGTGTTGCTCGATGGCTCGTGTAAGAATTGTAGGATGGCATTGTTTAACAAGCCTTGCTGCAGAGCAATTTCTGGTGAGACACGCACTCCTCTTACTGGGTCAATGATGCCCCCGCTGGCAATCTGGGCCTCCAAGATATGTTTACCTTTTTGTCTGTCAAGCACTCTATTTTCCATCGCTTGAAACACTGACAACGTCTTAGAATTATATGAATATCCCAGGGCTGCCTTCTCTGCCTCAAGGAGCCTAATTTTGAATTCGGGGTCAATAACTCCTTTAAGGATTGCATCTTCGACAGAATACGTCTGACCTGAAATGGGATCAATTATAAAACCTGTGGCAGCCTGTGCTTCTAAAAATGCTAAAGCCATCATTTTGTCTATTATGATTTTCTTGGCTGCTGAGGCAAATGAAATCTTTTCTTTTGTGGATTCCAGATAAAGCCCTGCAATCGAGGTGGCTTTCGTCAAAAACTTGCTAAGAGTTTTCTGAACGTCTTCAACAGTCTTAAGACCAAGTCGCAGCTGCTCAACTGTTTTCATGTCCAGAAGCTTAGCCTCAACCAACTGCCTGGCAGTCACAGTGTGCCGGAGCCCTTGGAATGTAAATTCATCATCCCTAACCGAACATGAATGGTCGCCATCAACGTTCTGGAAGGTCTCTGGTTCTAAGCCTCTCTTAAGAAAATCTCCTCTCTTGAGTCCAAACATCCATCCTTCAGTACTGGAACCGGGGCTCTTTTCTTGTTTTAATGTTGTGACTTCTGTACGCATATCATACTGCTTGTTCTTAGCTATCTGTAACAGGAATTTACAAGGCATTAAAAGTCATCTAAAGAACACTGTCACTTTACGCAATCCAAATATAATTCCTAGAAAAACAAAGATGAGATAACTAAAGAGAAGAAAAATTTCAAACTAAAGATGATTCAGGAATAAGTAATATATTTTGAAAGTCTGAAGCTTACTTTAGATGACAATTAAGGTATTAAAAAGGTATGAAGGTGAAGGGATTAAGAAAAAAACAAACTCATAGACAACAGTACTATGGTAATTACCGAAGGGGAAGGGGGGTGGGGGGAGGTAGAAGAGGATAAAGGGGGGATAAATGGTGATGGAAGGAGACTTGACTTGGGGTTTGGAAAACACAATACAATATCTAGATGATGTATCATAGAATTATACACCTGAAACCTGCACAATTTTATTAACCAATGTCACCCCAATAAATTCAATTTAATAAAAGAGGAGGGAAAAAGACTAAGATGAAATTTTTCCAGAGAACATGTTAGAAATTAAAATTAATTGCTTGGTTTTTCTAGCTTTCTTATGGGCATATTTTTTAGAATATAATCCCATAGATATAGCATATAACCATTACATTCATGTGTTTAATGTCACACATTTAAAAATGAAAGATTAATAATTTGTAGTAAAGATGCAATAAACCGCTAGAAAATGATAGCATTATTTCCTATCAGAACAACAAAAAGCCAATCACATTTATCGTTATTTTAAAAAATCTAGTCTAGCAGGGAAAGGAAAGAAGAGAGGAAACTTAACACAGGTAGCTGATAAGGTCTCAGGATCCAGATTATACCTCTAAGGGTGCCAAAAGCTTCACCAGGTCCACTTCACATTTGTCCTCCTGACATCTCACAGGTGGCCTGGAACTGTACAGAGCTTGATCTCTTATCTTCTCTATTTCTGATAGTCTTGGCATAGGACTTTTGTCATCAAAAGTTATCTGCAATTCAGTGCTTGTTTGAGAAAAATACTCAGAGTAACACTGCTGGCTTTTCTCTTTCTCCAGCGGGGACTTTGATGTCCAACAAAGGGGATCCTTTTGTTCGACAACCCGATGTTGCCACTTCTCTTCCGACGGTTGTGGTTCTTGAGTCCTTCTCAACAGAGGAGACCTGGGCGTTGGGTGATGCTGTCCCGAGTTCCTAGAGAAGAGGTCTCTGGAGTGCTGACATTCCTTCACTGCCGCCTCAAAATCTGGTTTAAAGCTGTAGTCCTTGGCTGGGCTCTTTTTTTGGATTTCACACTGGAGCAAAACTAACTGATGCTCGTGTTCCTTTATCTGCTGATCCATTTTGTGCTTCAGGTTTTCAACTTCACGTTTCTGGGCTGCCAGCTCCTCTTCGAGTTTCCGACATTTTTGGTAATGATTTGCTTCTACATTCTGCCCCTGCTGGATATGCTCACGATATTGTTGAAGCTGTCTCTCAAGTTCTCGAATATTTGTTTCACAGAGCTTAGCATTCTCTTGAGCTCTGCAGTTTTCTCGCTGAAGAGACACAAAGTCGAGCTTGATTCCGGAAATGTCATTTTCAGTGATAACTTTGGAGCCCATTAATTTTTCCATCTTTTTCCGAAACTCCTCTGCCGAACGTTTGAACTTCTCAGATTCTTCCTGAAACAGGACCATCTTTCTGTGGATCATCTGCTCCTCTATGGTCTTTAAGTGCAGTTCGTCTTGTACCCTTTTCAATCTGTTATTTAACTCTTGCACCTGAGCTTGCTGGAGCTGGACTTTCTGCTCCCCCAGTCGCTTCTCCTCTTTGGAAGCATTCAGCTCAGCGTTCAGATTTCTAACCTCTTTCTCGGTATTCTGGATGATGATGTTCTGCTGGTCACACTTTTGCTTAAACTCATTTACTAAATTTAGACTTCTGGCGAGGTCTTCTTCTAGGCATTTGATTTTTCTGTGGAAATCCTGCTCTGTTTTTGTCTGTTTATGCAAGTGTTCGTTTGTGTTACGAAGCTGATCTTTAAAACCATCTGCCTGAATTTTCAGGGCTTCACATCTTTGCTGGATAGCTTGTTTCTCTAAAACCACATGGGTCGATTCCGCCTGAATTCTCTGCATCGCTAACTTGGTTTCATTATTCTGCCTAATCAGCTCATCTACTTTTTGTCTTTGCATTTCTGCACACTTATTACTTTTCTCCAATTCTTCCTTCAGCTTTTGGATTTTTTCATCATTTTCTCTTTCAGCTTTAATATTCTGAAGCAACTGTGCGTGGCTTTTCTCAAATTGTTCTTTGAGATGATCTGATTTTCTCTGGCATAATTGCATTCTTTCGTTAGAGAAATCCTTCTCGTCCCGAAAAGAATTCACCTGTGATTTTAAATGCTGAATATTCCTCTCAGTTATTGCATGAGTCCTAGTGATGCTGTCTACTTCTCTTTGCAGTTTCCCTTTTTCCTGTTGAAGAGATTCTAGTTCCACCTCATAGCTCTGCTTTATTTTCTTAAGATCACTAGCTTCCTGCATGACTTCCTCGGCTTTATCTGAGGTTTGGTTCAATTGCCGCCCCAGTTCTCTGAGCTGCTGAGAATACCCTTCCTCTACCTGGTCCTTCCTTTCCAACTCTAACTTCAGGCACTTTAGTGTATTATTCGTCTCGTCGAGTTTTTCTTTTAGCAGACGGGCCTTTTCCTCGGATGAAGTCTTCTCGAGCTGGAGGGCACTGAGTTCATACTTCAGCTCCCTCATGTCTTTCTCGGCCTTTCTATTGGCGGCCATGAGCTCATCCACCTGCTGCTTGAGCTCCTCCGCTTTCTGTCGGTCTCGCTCTCCATGTGTCATGGCACACGTGGGCACCGTGTTCTCCCGGCAGGAGTGCTGGATTTCAGTTATCTTTCTCCTTGCTTCCAGCTCAATTTTCTGCTTTTCTTTCAACTGTTTCTCTGCTATCTGTTTTTGAGACATCAGATCTCTCTCCATCTGCTTCATCCGCTTCAGGAGCTCTTCCTCATTGTCTCTCTTTCTTCTTAATTCTTCCATTAACTTATTTTTCTGTTGCTCCAAGTCACTGAGACTCGAGTCTTTCCTTTTTAGGTGATCCTCCAGGGTTCTTCTCGTGAAGGTGTTTTCCTCTAACTGGTTCCGGAAATTGCGGAGGTTTTCCTCCACGGCCTCTCTCTTGGCCTCGGCCTCCAGGGTCAGCCGCCGCACACGCTCCAGCTCCCGCTCCGCTGCCTCCTTCTCCCGCACAATGGCCTCCAGTTCCCTGCGGCACCGCTTGGCTTCGCTTTCAGCCCTGATTTTCTGCAGAGCAATGTCTTCTACATTTCGCTGCTGCTTTCTCAATTCATTTTCTGCAGCCTCCTTGACCTTGGGAAGTTCTTCCTCTACTCGGGACTTTTGTTTCTTTAGCTCGGCTACCATGTTCTCCAACTCACTTATCTTTCCTGTAAGTTTGCAATTCTCAATCATGGTTGCCTTCTGGCGCTGAAGCAGATCTGAATAGGCCCCATGTTCAGAATTCTCCTTACACCTCTTCATCTACGAGAGATGTTTAAAAGTGTCAAACCTGTTTTATTCCCATTTATCTTTAAAAATCTGAAGCAAGGCTCAGAAAAGTACTTACAGAAAACAGGTAAACCCAAATGCAGAACAAGCACTATCACCACCATCACCACCATCACCACCACCACCTTCTTCTGAGAGGAAGCTTCAGGCAGGCAGCAAAAGGAGAAGACAAAAACCCTTCTGTGGTTTTCTAAACCTTTTTTGTTTGTTTGTTTTGGTCTCTCAGAAATAATTTGGTTGTAAAAATTAGCTAGCTCCGGATTTTATAGCAAGAAGGGACCTTCCAAAACACATAACCTATAGATGAGGAAACTGAGGTACAGGGAGGTTAAATGAATTTGAAAAGTTCCACAACAGTACTTTTCTGCTCTCGCTCACAACTTAGTCCAAGCTAAGAATATACAACACACAGGAACCAAGTGACATCCAAGAATTTAGTTTTCAATATCTAGCCAATGGAAATTTAAAATGATGTTTACATCCCTATTTCATGGTTAAAGAAACAAAATACAGAACTTTGGGACAGAGAGCTAAATCAGGAAATAAAATGTAACACGGGAAGGAAGAAAATTATACAGAAACTTGTCATTTCTAATGTCAAAATTTTTACTTGTTTATATTGCCATCTTATGACAATTACCATCGGAATTGCTAATGCAAAGGCAGCTACCTTCCCTGGTGGCTTTAGAAAATATGTGCTTCACATACTCACAGATTTTGTTGTTCTTGTTAATGACATGCCTCCTAGGAATCCACCTTGACAAGTACCTTTAGATACTCCGTAAATACAAAGAAATTTGTTAAATAAAATGCTTGTTAAAATATTCTTAGGGATTCAGCTCCCTATAGAATAAAATGTAAGAAGATTTTTTTACTCTGTTAATGATAGAATCAATCTCAACTGGGAGGAGTAGACTTTGCATTGACTACAGAACTACATGGTCAGGGCTAGTTCTTCATTACAATTTAATTTCTCTTTATTAACACCATAAGGTTGTTAGTTTCATATCATCAACCCAAAATCATAATTATAAACAGTTTAAACAAGAATAGAAAAATGATTCTAGAGAGCAGATTTTTTTTTTTTGTAAATTGAAAAGCTTTGGTGAATTTCAATAATTTACACTATTGACCATATATCTTATTTTAATTCCTCTAATTTCTTGATTCCAAATAATTTTGACAAGAACTACAGTTGTTTCCTTTGCTAACCTAAATATGGTTTAAATAAGAATTCATATAAAACAAATCTCATAGCAGTCTGCAATACTAAATTTTCAATATTTATTGAGTTGTTGATTTCTAATAGGGTATTTCTCAATTTCTTATCAACCCCTCTTTAAAACTTAGCTATTGCTAAGAAGTTTTGAGCCTTTTTTTCTTAGTTATGTTCTAAGGTTTGAAAAATAAAAAAAATCTCTTGGGAAAAAAAAGTTGTTGAATCCTTCATATCTTAATTAAAGTATCTGTACTGTTTAATAATCTCACATTGTCTAAATATTCTGAATTTTTTAGCAAATACTATAAAAATTACCAAAAATCATTCAGTCCTATTGCTGATTTGCTTTCCTGTAGATCTCAAACTTACTCATATAAAAATAACTCCCTCAGTTTTCTCTAACTTTTCCCGAAGGAGACATGCTGTCCTTTAATCTTAGCAATTAATCTTTAATATACAGTACTTTGCTCTAAATATAGACTAGAAAATCTCTTTATCCATCTAATACCCATTACAGATACTCTACTTTCATTTCTAATTTGGTATTATCTTCTGAAATTAACTTGCATCCCTCTTTGATTCTAATGTTTATTATGAAAAGTTCTACTCTCAGACCAAGGTTTTCCATGTGGCTCCTCACAGACTTGGTTTCAGAAACACTACTCTTTGGAGTCTAAAAACTGAGCTATATATCTTTTATAAAAGATATCCTTTGCATTCCACTAATATGATTCCTAAGTGGTAAATTTTATTCAGGAACTTTTAAAATCTATTTTACATTACAATCTTTGCATGGCCTATATTATTTTGTCTTCAATTCACTATCATTCCTTTCCGTTTCAAAGGATGACAGGCATAATTTGTAAATACTCAGGCCTTGTGAAATACCATTTGATTCTATCAACTTTATTCTGTCTCATCAGATAAATTGAGCAAAGTGGCTCACATATGTGCAATAAGATATATACTATAAAAAAGGACTTAAATTATTTTATTTTAAATTAAACTACTAAAATATAATTTAAAAGACCTGTATGCCATTTAAAATGGAACTGTATCCCTTAAAAAGTAAAAATATTAAAAATTATGTATGTTCTTCCATAAATGAGAGATGTATGCCAATTATTTGGATGGTCACAAATACTCTGATTCTCCTTTCTAAGCACAAAGAAAGCTAGTTATAAAGACGTGCAATTAGCTATGTTAGTGATTTAGTTGCAGAAAACTGTTAACATTGAACAGACTAAAATAGTTTACAAAAGCAGTGACATTTTTAGAAACTAGAAATGTAACAGCTATTAGACATGTACTGCTGTTTTGGTTCTCTCATTATATGAACAGTTATATTAAGTATAATTATCTTCAGAATTTTCAACAACAGTACAATTTAAAATGACTAATGCCCCACAATTTACTAATTTTAGCATTCAGTCTACTATTTTTGTCTGTTCTAAAGTTATGAATAGAAATCACACCAAGATAATAGAGCATAGCATAATCCCTTCAAAAGTATATATAATAGCCTTTTATGACAAGATATTTATAAACAACTCCTCACTCTATTTGTGAATATATTTTTAAATGCAAAATCCAAGCTACAGAATTTCTCCAAATTAGAAAGGTACTTAAACAGTCTTACTATATACCATATCTTTTTGGCAAATAAATAAATAAATAAATGCTGCGCAATTCTTAAAAAGTACTATCATTTTGTACAAACACCTAATACTTCTAAATTAAAACTTTTATGTTTTATATCCCTGAAGATGTAAATTAATTTAAAATGCATAAACAAATTTGTTTATACACTATTTCTGCAGGCATTGTAACAGTAGTAACTATACTTCAAAGTATACTTCTCAACTGTAAGACAACTGAGAAAAATCCCACCAGTGTCAAAATTTCATAATTTAAGTAGAACCATTTAAGACATTAATCCTATCATATTAGAGTCCTACAGCGAAAATAAAAATGTTCTATTTAGGAAAATCTTTAAAATGTTAAAAAAAAACCCTAGGCCTCTACTCTTGTACATTATAATTTTATAATTAAACAATTACCTACATATCAGTTATCAACCATATAAATTTACCATGAAACCATTTTTGTTTTTCCAAACCATACTATATACTTCCTTTTTAGTTAGCTGTTCATACTTAATGGTTACCTCTTCCTCTTCCAGCCTCTTCAATGAATCACCAGCAAATTTAATATATTGTGTCATGAGGGTGAGCAGAGCAGTATATCGTGTTCGTAGGTCCATGAACTGCAAGTACAAAAAGAATAATAAAAACATAATCTCCAGATGCCCTACATGAGTTGAATAAACGTTAAGTAACAATTACAATATTAAGTAGGCCTTTTGAAAGCAAAGTACACAACCCCCAGTAATAGAAACTGGAATGAGCTTATTACTGTTGTGCAAACCATACTAAATGGCAGTTTTCTTCTAAACCTCATCAAGAAGTACATTTATTATAATCTGCAATTAACAATTAATCCTGATTAAAGATTTTTATCAAGTGTAGTTTATAGGTAGAAACTTTCTTTTTGGAACATTGAAAATTTTCTGGAAATGGTTAGTAGTCAAGGCTGCAGAATATTATGAGTGTACTGAGTGCCACTGAATTGTGCACTTAAAAATGGTTAAAATGATAAAGTTTCCATGTATATTTTATAATATAAATATATAAAATTTTTCAAGTACTGTTTCTCTCTTTTACACTCCCTCCCTTCTCTGCGGTACTTGTATTACCTCTTGGATGATGAGATCTGCGGAGCTCTGCATTCTCCGGCGTTTCACTGGAGACTTTTGTTGTGAATCTACCATGGCCCGGTAGGTCATTGTTTGTAATTCGTAGTCCTGGATAAAGGAGTCAATGAGATGAAATCAATTAAATCAAAGAGCTAAAGCTTCCTAATGGATCTTAGTTTCACTGAATAACCTTAAAAGAAAATATCACAAAACAATACTTTTAGAAACCTATCCAATCCTGACATGTTCACACAGTGGTAATAAAATCAGAAACATTTAGGGTGGTGAGGAAAATTCCTAAGACTCTTTAGAAACTCATGGAAACATTTAGTACAATATGCTAGTTACACTCAGCCTCCCTCTCCTCTAGCTAGGCAATGGCAATGGGCATCTGGGTGGCTAAAGATGATATATTATTAAAGACTTCACATTGCATGAGAACAGAAAATGTTATAGGTTCTTTAATGGGATACTCTAGCACTGTTAAAGAAAGGAGAGAGAAAGCAAGACCAAGGGTGAGAGAAGGAGAGAAAGAGGGAAGCAGGGAGGGTGGGGGCACAAAGTGACTAAGAAATGAATTTTAGCCCTACCTCAGGGGTGGGCAACCCCTGGCATGCGTGCCAAACATGGCACGCCAGTAACTTGCTAGCACACGAAACCCTCTCTTATAATCTTCCATTTACAATTTTTTTCTTAATATCGACTTTTTTATTTTTCAGATAAATTCAGTGTAGGTGCATCTTAGATAAATAAATAATTTTACATAACAAGTTATCTTAAAGACCATAGACATGGATTGACGAGAGAGGGGAAGAGCAATTTCTATGCCTCTGCCTTAACTCTCCCCGCCTTCCTAGATCCGACCAGTGTTTTGGTTTCATCCACATACGCTTGTGAATCTTTGTTCTCAGTGATGAATTTTGTTAAGTCTCATAATAGGAGTAGCCTGACGGATGAAAGTAGTAGCTCGTGCATATCTCTGAAGGTCACGAAATATAAACCTGATGTAAAATCTCTGTCATCAGTGATGCAGCAGCAAAAGTCCCACTGATAATATCAAACGGAGTCATAAAGTTTTCTGTCGGACTATCAGTGTACATGTATACATTAAAAAATAAATGTATTTTTCATCATCATATACTGTGTTTTTGTCACTCGAATGAATTTTATTATTTCTTCAAGGTTCTTCACATACGTACACCTTAAGAGATATCAAGTAGGCGTAACATGTTCTCAAAAAATTAGGGTTGGCACACAGAAGAATTTTGAGTCAGAGACTTTGCTGGTTTTGGCACGCACTCACAAAAAGGTTGCCCACCCCTGCCCTAGCCGGTTTAGCTCAGTGGATAAAGCACCGGCCTGCGGCCTGAAGGGTCCCAGGTTCGACTCTGGCCAAGGGCACATGTCCAGTGGGGGGCGTGCAGGAGGCAGCTGATCAATGATTCTCTCTCATC